GAGCTCGTCGCACCACCTGAACATATGAAACCCACGATATGGCTTCGCTTTATCTTTGTAGCTTCGTTGAAACACGCGCGATATCGCAAGAGTGAGCTCGGGGCTCACAAGCGCCTGGCGCTCGTCCGATGGGCATATAAATGCACAAGCTGGCAGTTTGTCTGCCATGCGTGGAAAGCGATCCTGGTAGACATCCTGCGGCAAAAGGAAGAAGTTGCTGCGGCCATCGTCGTCAGTTCTTGTCGTGCTACATTCCTTTGGTCGTGGCTGCTGTGTGGCAGGCTTGTTCTTTGTTTGAGCATGCGGCTGCAAGGTGGAACTCAAGTGCTCCTTCACCTTCTCACACCCTTCCAAGCTACGCTGCTTCTGTCTTGCTTGCCAGTGCTCCTCTGTGCTAAATCCCTGCTGCCCGTCCTGATGAGCACCAGCAGACTTCGACAGAAGTTGCTCCCCGTGGTGCAGCGGATGTTTGTTACTGTTCTGGTGCAGCGGGAACAAAGGCCGCTGGTGGTGCTGCTGGTGGTGCGGCTGTTGCTGGAGTTCTAACTGTGTAGTTGTTCCTAGATCGTCGACGACAAAAACTGTTTTATTCTCAGGAGTGGACAAAGCAGGCGCAGTGCGCGCGCCGACCCCATTCCCCGCAACTGGTGTGCGCGCGGTATGACCATTGGCGTGCTGCTTGTGATGATCAAGATGACGACGGCTGTGACGACCAGACCAATGATTTTCAGCAGAAACAGAAACAGGCAAGCTGCTCCGCCATCGTGCACTAGCAGCAAGATCCTCGCCAACCAGCAAGCAATATACTTTGCCATCGGAGGTAGCTGCTGATCTTCCTGTAGTTCTTGTTGTTTTAACATCAACTTCCCGCGTAGCGGAGGAGGAGGCCCGTGCTGGTGCCGGTGCATGATCGTTTCTACAACCAGCAGGAGCAGAAGTAGCTGCACAGGAAGAGTTATCATTTGCAGAGCGCTCCATTAGAGACGACGGAGACGCATTGAGCAGTTGCTGCTGGGCGACCACCTTCTTGTCATGTGTATCGTTAGGATGTTGCAGCTGCATGTCAACGCCTATGATTGACGTTCTTCCCAGTGGTGCACCGAGATCCTGAGTTGTAGCTGCGGGCTCCTCTACAGCGCCTAACTGGCTGCCAGAGCAGGCACGACGACCACGAGGATTTTCTTGACCTCCACCGCTTTCCGCAACAGGAGGGAGACGTTGCTCTTCTACTTCTGAATCCGTGGTGTATGTGCCTCCGGAAGATTCACACGAGGAACTACGTGCTGATGAAGAGGAAGATGCTGACGAGTTTTTGCTAGCTCGTCTCTGCATCATGCTAGACGAGCCTTCAGGAGCACACGCCAGCACGTCGGCCACCGGCTGAGATGAAAGATGTACTGCTGACGCCGCGGCGAGAAGAGGAGGACTCCGAGTAGTTTCCAGCTGCAGGGTCATTTGTTGCGTCTCTCTGTTCACTGATGCTTCACCACTGCGACGCCCATCTGGAAGCGAAGCCACCTGCGCAACATCACTCGCGACCAGAATGGCGCTAGGCACAGCTGAATCACCACTCCGCGGGTTTCTCGTCGATCCAGGTTCAGGAGAAGGAGCTGCTGCCGAAGTACCACCTTGCGCGCGTGTGCTTGGAGGTATATACTCAGGCCATTCAAATTTGGTGACTTTCATTTTGCCGCGGCTGAAGAGACTCTTCTTGATTTTATTCGGATCTTCGTGCGCATTCCTCTTCGTGCTCCTCTGCACAGCGTCGACATCCTGACGTCTAGAAGTACGAACGACTCGAGCTGCATCACGTGATGTCGCAGTGCTGCTGGAGCTAGCTCCGGCTCCGCCGTGCACGTTGTGACCAGCATGATGATCTACTTCGAGCACCACGGGATGTTGATGACTATTGATGGAATTACTCGTCATCTGCCTCTCTTCTGCTCGCGGATTGCTTTGCTGCAGATCATTGAAGCCCAGAGCAGATGAAAGAGCAGATCCCGTAGCGAAAAAAATATCTGAAACCTTTGGAGCGCCGCAGCTTACTTCATCATCCACCTGATGAAAGAGGATTTCGCCACGCTCCTCGTCGACATCCTCTTCCGCCCGCCGACAATGGCAGGTGCCGCCGCTACTTGTGGTAGAAGACTCAATATTACTGTTACGACCCCCATGAGTATTAGAAGATGAGCTCGTCCCCGGTTGTTCTTGGTTAATAGAAGGTAGACCTTTTGGATCAACATTTGCGCTGCTTGATGTCGATTCGACAGGTTTTCCTACAGCAGACGAGGACCGTTTACCTCCTGCAGCACACTCCGAATAAGGAACAAAACGAAGATCACTGACCAGAGAAGTCCCACCATGATCTGTTCCATTATCCACCTCCAAGTCTAACATGTGCTGTGGAAAATACTGCTGATCTTCGTCTGACTCCGCGAGTTTTCGTTTCTTCACAGCAGCCTTTTCGCCCCCGTCGTCCACCTGCTCCCTCGAAGCCACACGATCATGAACAACAAGACTGCTCGAGTAGGACAAGGAGGAGGAGGACGCGAGTCCCCGCACAAGTACGCTAGAATCAGTGTTGTACCGACCTTGCACTTCATTAAACGAAGGCGGACCACCTCCACCAGCACCAGAACCAGGCACGACATCCGCAGCATGAAGAAGTAGATGATGATCATTAATATCTTCATGAAGATCATGCGTGATTCTGCAAGAAGTAGAGATCTCCACATTGGTTTCCCTGACACCCACATCCGTCAGAGGAAAATCCATCCTGACACCACGAAGAGTACTTAGCCCACAAGCGTCATCTTCCTGCAACTTATCCTGCAACAAGACAGACCGGGATACCTGTACAGACGACCAAGGAGATAAGAATGAATGACGCAAACCGCATAAAGAATGCCATCTATCACGATCAGTCCGTCGACCTCTCATGGAGGTTTTCGATTGAATGCGAGAAGTGCCTAGTACTATGAACAACTAAAGAAGTCGTCTGTCGTGAACTTATGCCTACTTTGAATTCTCGCCATCAATACAACGAGAAAGTAAAATACAAATACCATCCGCGTCCCACCCTAGATACAAGATTAAAGACCAATACCTCGTCCAGCCTCGCAGAATGGAGAACGTCGTGGTGGTCCATCTTCTTCAAGCTCTTGCGTCTCTGAAGTACTGGCGCACATTCTCCTGATGCATGATCTTCTCCGTGAACTACAAGATGACTTTTTTCAGTTGTCGCGAGTGGTCCATTAATAGTACTGACGTTGATGAAGATGCTGTTCTTCTCGTGCTGCAGCACATCCATTTTTTGTATCCCCGCATCTGACATCTCCGCGTCGACGACCGAAGAAGAAGCAGCGCCCTCAACTACCACCACGTCTGACTTGGTGGAAGGATCAAGTAGTACAACTTGTTCTTTTTCCATCTTCCTCCTCGTTCCTGTACGACGATCACTCCTCTCTTCCACACTGGCGCTGTGACCATCTTCCTCCCGAGCGCGACAGTCTTGCTCATCTTTGATTTTGCTATCCAGGAGGTCGTGATGCACCGGAGGAGCAAGATCACACAGCCCCACATCAGCACGCTGAAGCTGATGAATACAGTCGGCATCTGTCTTTCCATTGATGTCGTCTGGAAATGCAACTCCTTCTGAATGCGAAAGATCCATGTGACATTCAGATGACGAAACGTCGACTCCACCTCGCGGCTTGCGCCCGGCGCCCTCGTTGCTAGTGCTATTACAACTACTAGAACTACTCGCGGCTACCTCTACTCGAAGGGGAGGCTCGTTACTTATATCATGCTGCTCCCCTCCGCTCGTAGCAATGTCGCTAGTGTCAGCAGCGATGAACAACGACGAAAAGGCAGATAGAGCGTCACGTGAGCTAGAAGATGAAGGTGGCTCGCCATCGCCCCGCCGCAGTGAAGTACTAGAAGATGTTTTCGTCCCCGACTTCTGTACGCGTGTCCCCATTGCCGATCTATAGTTTGAAGGCCTGAACCGCTGATTCCCATTCGATGGAATGAAGTTCGGAGGCGCTGGCGCTCTGCGTGATGTTCTTATCTGCACGGCGGCTGTGTATTTTGCATGCCGTTTAAACCGAAAGTGGTCACAGTGTTTGTACGGAATAAATCCCGGCATCATGCAGAATCTGATTTTTCTGCTTTTTTTCTATGTGAAAACCAACCTACTTTTTTCCGCGATCAGGTGCATCATCATCCAACAACTTCTATAGCAGCACGACGAGAACCAACTATCTTCAGCAGTTAATTAAGATCAAGTTATAATATCAAATAAGTTATGTCCTTGTAGTACAAGTTGATGCTTTCTTCTACATGTATCTTGTACCGAAAATAAACAAATTATGCGCTGATCATAGGAAAATGTGCTAGAAGTTCTTGTCCCTGAAATGCAAAAAAGTACGACCATCCGCTTATCGTTATCATCTATCACTAAAGAAAAAGTTCCACGAGGAGGCTGCAACTACGTCAAGGAGGGACAGGCGGGGAAGATTTTCTCTCGTCGTGATGACCTTTATTCGGAGTATAATGTAATTATATGATTGGCGCATATATTATAATAGACAGCATTTGGGAAGTAGAGTAGGGTTTCTCTCAATTCCCTCATCCTGATGCCCCTTTTTCGCTCATGACACAAACATCCCCGACTGTTCATTCAACTTCTCAACCAAAGCTCCGAGAATGTCAAGAAAGACCGTCAATGTCCAAGCCTGGTACTGCTGCTGGTCGTGCAGGAGCTTCCGATCATCAACTACTACTACATCACGACGTAGCGAACAACTGAAGCACTAGATGCTACCGAAAAAAGTGAAACAACATCTGATCATGCTCTTGGTGCTGACTTCGTCCTCCTGCTCCAGAAAATAGATGAAGCAGTAGAAGACCATGTTCTTGGTGAACAGGAGCTAACTAGTACTGGCACAACAGCTTCATCAGCATGATCTTCAATAACAAATATCAGTATAATGTTGTTCAAGGTCCATGAGCTGCGCCCGCAAAGGAACAGGAGCAAGTAATAAATCTGACGAAACGTCAATAATCCAGCAAGAAGGAATACACGCGCAAGGAAAATATGTGGTGAACTGTAGTTTTGAGATCAAGCGTTGTGGAGAGTGCTATAGTCAGCGAACAAGAAACCAGCAGACGCCGCTACAAAAACAGCAAGAACATTCACTAACGATCATTGATGTTGGAGCACGCCCACGCAAGTGGAGCACGACATCGCTCGATAGAATCGTAATAAAATGCGAGAAATTTTAATGATCATCACGTTGACAATGTTGGAGAAAAGTAATATTATCAAATAAATTTACAACAGCAAGAACAAGAACAAGATCATCGTCATGGACAAGTAGTAGAAATGATCGTTCGCACTGGTATGGTTTCACAAAAAATCAATAAGCATAAAAGCTGTGAAGAACTGAATAGTGACGAAAAGCGCACTCCCCTTGATGCTGCGCTCTTCCCCTTCATCCCCAACTTCTCAGATGAAGTATAATCTCCCTGCTGAACCACCGGTATCCATCGCGCAATCCTCCACTTCCACACCTAGCTGAATGAAATATTTGAGGAAAGTATTGAAAAAAAAATGACCAAAAACAATCCTCCTAGGAGGAGCACTGCCAACAACATGCGGCTCCGATGAATCGCCATCCGATGACCGCGTCGCCATCTTCGATCTTGCGCTACCATTCTTCCTATGTTGCCGCGAGCTCAATGCAGTACCACCTGCCTCTTCCTCGCCCTACTGATGAATTCATTCCGTGTTTTTTCATACTCATGCAACGAAGAAAATGAACACAGTATCAACAATGCAATGAATCTGTCTTCGGGTCATTGCGGTCCGAATTCATAACCTGAAAACTCACGATCCTGAACCAAAGGCTTCAGCATGCTCAATCAGCGGCACTGGGACGCCCCCGCAGCCACGAAGAAACCATACCCCTCAACATCGACTTCAGCAGACCATAACTCACGATCCTTGAACCCGGTTCCGCTGTCCAAAGATTTCCTACCTTCCGAAGCAATTTCACACTCCCAAAAACAAAGACCGTCAAAGGCCATCGCGCAGAAGGTAAATCTAAGAAGCTAAAACTGTACTCAGCGACAGTCAAAACCAAAGCGTTCAAAGTGAAGTTGATCAGACCACTATTTGAAACGAAAATCATTCACTTAAAAGTAACTTTTTCCGAAAATCCTCCTTAAATATCCCCTAATTTTCCCTAAATTTTGATCCCTTCCACAAGCGTGTCCGTTTGTTCATAAAAGAGACATCTAAAAAAATTTCTTCTTCTGTGCGCAAAAAAAAAGTACACTGCAACACAATCCGAGTCCCATTTCGGTCGAAAAATCCCGAAAATGCTCCCAGACTAGATAATCTGCCTTTCCATTTCCCATCTCGTGAGGGGTTCTGTAGCCTAACTCCGACACTAACTGCGATTCAGATGCTTTTGCGTTTTTGCCGGAAATCTTGCTGGCAGGCCGTCTAACGGTACGGTCCCATGCATGAACGCCGCTGAAGTTGTGAGGCAAGAAATTGTGAAATTTTTAGGGTGCCGCGATCCCAGGCGTGGACGCCGCTGAAGTTGTGAGATAAGAAAATGTTTAGTCGAAACCTTCAGTGGTCACGGTTGTGAGGAAGGTAAGAAAATATCAATTTTTTTCCTAGTGTTTTTCTTTTCCTGGTGTGGTCGAACTTGAACTTGAAACCTTCAGATTCAGTCACAAGATACTAGCTGCAGGTCGAGAATGTGATCTTAAAGGTGCACCAACTACAATGGCGGCACAGTTGTAGATGCCACGACATCGACATCCACTACAAGAACATGGCACCAATGAATAGTACTAAACATCTTCACATGAACGATCTGAAACATCTTCACATTGTTTCTTCTGAAGATGTTGATGATCACAAGAGCAAGAGGAGCAATTTTTTTAGACGTACGAGTACCCTCCTATCGTATCCGTATTTAGCATCGCAAAAACAGCCGGATTCCGTCTCAAATATGGCTCATCCTTCAGCTTGTCCAACTGAAAGATGGTTTTCGTTGACCCGTCAGGCAACTCTTCCTCGAACCTTTCTATTACGTCTTTGATCAGCGGATTCCTCTTGAAATACGTTGCAATCCCATTGGCGCCGTACATCAACTTGTTGCCTATCCAAGTTTTCTTCCGCCTTCTTTCCATGCCCATGCCAACGCGACTCTCTGGGCCGAGACTGAAATAGCAACTGACGCTGGAGATTAGAGAGAGGGAAAAGAACTGAAATAATAGCAACTCACGCTTGGGGTTACAGAGAGAGGTCCTGGGGAGACTGCCGAGAGTGAGAATCGGGATGGAGAAAGTAATATTGTGAGACGAGTTGCTGTTGCATTATGTTACTAGCTCTATCGCGGCGTATGAAGGCAACAAGACACTTCTGCGGAAGATATGGATAACGGGAAGACCCGTACTCCTGTTTCTCAGTAGATTTGAAAATCGATGGACATTATTTAGCTTTAGGCAACACGGCCTTTGAAGCCTTAACTTCGTACACCTCATCCCATTGCCTTCGATTTCTGTTATATGATGCTGCACCCTTGCTCCGTCTGTAAGGCCTGGTGTTAGAAGAGCAGATTATCCTCATCTTTGTCGTGCCTAAGATGTTGCTAACCTACGCAACTTAGACAACCCAAGCAAGAACTTAGGTGGACCATAACTTCTTATTATATCCCGTCACGAAAGCAAAATCTCCCTTTTCATGCGTCTCGACCTCGACTTCCCACAGGTCGTGTGGGCTATCCGGACTTTGCAGCCATGTATCCACCTTAGATGATCTATCTTCCGTAGAAATAAATGCATCCTGAAGAACTACTGTATCTCACTACAGCTCAGCTGCTCACTTCTTTTTTCACTACAGCTCAGCTGCTCACTTCTTTTTTAACTCTGTATTTGTTTAAGTTAAACTACTACCAGAGCAATTTATAAGGTTTCACAGCTCGCATGGCATGGAGTGCATGGATCACATGGAGTAGCATGGAGCTAAAGGGGGAGCTTCTTGCGCCCCTTACAGCTCTGCGCTCCATGCACTCCATGCTACTCCATGCACTCCATGCACCATGCGTGCTATAAACTACTCTGTACTACATTTCTGAGAAACTACAAGCTTGTTCCATCACTTCAAAGCGGAGGTGAACCTACTTTTCCCCTCTTCAAAACAGAGGTCCCATGATGCTCATCATGATTCAAGAATAAATTCAATGAGCTTCCTCGATGAACATACAAGAAGAAGATAAATTTATATTTATCTTTAATATGGAGAAGCCTTAACCACATCTTTTTTCAAAAAGACATTGTCTTTTCCGAGTAAGTTGGTTCTAGCCCATTTTCCCCACCCATAGGACTGCGAAAAATCGTTGCCGGTACCAAAAGCAACGATGCCAAGGAGAAGGGAAGTGAAGGGGACCTGGTGGAGGCACTTTTATGAATGCTTCTGGTATTTGGTAACCTGAATTTGATCACAACTCACAAGGATTTGGGGAATATTCATGAAGCGATGTTTATGTATTAAGTAATTCAAGCACAGGTATAGAGTAAGGCAAGGGTTGTAAACAAGGACTGAAGAGTCTCTATTTTCTTTTGTCAAATGATGAAGACGAAAAACGAACATCAACATCAAGCATGATCAGTAGTACTAGTAGCTTCTAGTATTACTGTACCCCATGTTTTATCATCTCGTCGCACGCCCACGTTACTGTGCCATCGCCACCACATACTATGACACGTATCTTCTTACTTCCAGCAAGCGCTTCATTGTCCTTCCTAAGCTTCTTTTCAGTTCGTGCTAGGTGTTTAAAACCGGGCTTATCACCAGATTTGCCGGCACGGAGAGGGATTAGAGGAAGGGTGTACTTAGTTTAGTGGTTCTGTCTAGCGGAATAGAACATGAACAACTTGTTCACCAGAACAACTTGTGCTGAACGGATAAATCCTAGAAGTACGCGTAGAAGAGGATTGTCAAATATCTACGTCCTCGTCCTGGTCCTCCTGATCCAATCATAAATCGTAGAAGTAAAGCGTTGCCCGACCAGCACTGACATCTAACCGGAGCTTTCGACCACTGCTTTCGTCACCCGCGATCACTGGCGAGCCCAATTTCATATAAGAAGCGCCTTGCTTTGCTCCACTACTTGGATTTACGAGCATGAAAATGGCTGCACCATCTTTGGCAGGATCGCCGTCATGCTCTGCTGGGGATAGCGATGCGTCGGCTGCTGTGTCGGCTGCAACTAACTCCACGTCTGGGGAATGAAAGTGGAATACAAATAAGAAGTTGGGACACGAACACACAGGGTAGTTGTAACTGCGTCTGGCTGCTATTGAGAACATGACCTTTCACTTGATGAAAGTTTGAGAAGGGCCTCCTGTTCAGTCCTCGTCCTGAAGGAAAACTTGTTATTGTTGTTGATCGTGATTCATTACAACTGGTGCTACACTAGATACTGATAGTCCTCTGAATCGTGATTTAATATTAATTACAACTGGTGCTAGAGTAGATAGGGATAGTCCTCTGAATCGTGATTTAATATTACAACTGGTGCTAGAGTAGATAGGGATAGTCCTCTGAATCGTGATTTAATATTACAACTGGTGCTAGAGTAGATAGGGATAGTCCTCTGAATCGTGATTTAATATTACAACTGGTGCTAGAGTAGATAGGGATAGTCCTCTGAATCGTGATTTAATATTACAACTGGTGCTAGAGTAGATAGGGATAGTCCTCTGAATCGTGATTTAATATTACAACTGGTGCTAGAGTAGATAGGGATAGTCCTCTGATATGATCTAACCCATTCATATTCTAAAGCTGTTGCCGCTTCAGGTTTCGTTTCGCATTTTTTTTCGTCCGTTGGCGCAGAATCTGTTACTGCGCACGGCACGGCTTCCGGTTTTGCGGGTTCGGATTCCGTAGGCGAAGGGTCTGTCATTATCTTCGCAAGAGCCCGGATGTATGTCGCAAAGAGTAAGAGAAGTTATCGCAAAGAGAAAGAGATCCCTAATCATGTTTCTATCATTTTTGGTGCAAGTAGTCGTTGTTTTTGTTTTTGTCCGATTAACAAGGTCGAGTAAGTACTACAATTACAGCAAAATTTTGCCCTTTTCAATTTCCACCATCTAGTTTTCTATTGCCTCCTTTTTCCCAAGAATTATATCTCAATCATACTCTCTCTCTCGGAATCAATCTTCGTCAATGCTAGTTTCCTTCAACGACCATGACGCAGTACTCTCGTCGCCCTCGGTGGAGCCATAGCCATTCGCTCTCTTAGTAGACTAAGTACTAGGTTGCCTTACTTACGTGTGAATTCTTATTGGTCAAAAAGACCCGACTGGAGAAGTGTCAAGAACTGTCTCGACAGCTACAGAACAAACGAATCCATTACCATTATAGCAAGTCAAAGAGTGTGTTTAAAACTGGTGCTTCTAAGATAAGCGAAGACATCTCGAGCTACTGAACACCACGTGAAAGTCCAACCTTATCAAGAAAATCTCAATCTCTGCATTTGCTTAGTGACATCACCATCGCGATCACCTCGTCCCTAGATCTGCCATGTATTGGGCTAGCTCACGTCTATATAAAACGTCCCATATTGGCAAATCATGACGCCATTTGCTCACGGGACTAGTCGTCGCGTTCCAACCACAGCTACACCATATAGTACGGCCCCAATGCGGGGTACAGGCTTTGTAGAGGGTTAGAAGGGGAGGTAGGTGGAGTTAGATGGTTAGAAGGGCAAAGGAATAGGAAGATGGAGGAGGTGCAATTCGTCTATTTCTGCTTTACCAGCTTCCTTGCCAAGGTCTGATTGCAATCTTCGTCACTTTTCAGACAGATTAAATAGTTCCAAATCTGGAAAACCATAACTTGCGATATCGTGTGATCTCAAGTATGCCCTCGCTTCGTAACCGCGGCCCGCCTAGGTCTAAAACAGCCTCATAGTGTCGCACTGGCATGCTTCCACCGTGGTCCTCTGCTACGGATTATTAGAGACGTGCGTCTACTAAATAAGTACATCGATGCACTTATTTAGTCAGAAGAACGTGAACAAGTGTCTTCTCAAAAACAATCCAGCAATTTGATTTGAGACTATTTCCACGAACTTCAAGTTCAACTATACTAGTGATCATGTAATTAAACTTGTTGATACAATCTCAATCAGTGACATACTATCTCATAGACCTGCTCCCTCTTCTGTGCCTGCGAACTGAAGTACACAAGTGCACTGCTCTGCCCAAGACCTCGCATGCTCCGTGGATTAAAGGCCAGCAGTCAGTAGCCACTGATGCGGAACGGAAGAGACCACCTTCAAAGCTCTCCCCTTTTCCCTTCGTTTGTTTCCGCTGTTCTACTCTCAAGGGAAGGTCGCCTCTTCGATCTCAGAAGTGACCAACGACCCCAAGAATGACTAAAAAGGAAAGTTGAGCCTTAAGTGGATCTACTAGTAGCTTCTCCACTTGCTGCAACGTTTGCAAACCACAAGCATCGAAAGGGTCTAACTCCTCCACTGCTCCACGTGAAAGGAATTCCACATCATCTTGCTCATTCGTTGCCACGACTCGCAGAAGCCTTCCTAGTGCTCCTGTGGCCGCGTGCCTATGTTCATGTTGTTTATGATTATATTCATTTTCGTGCGCTATTTTTGACGGGGATTGTTGATGATGTAGAGGTAGTTGTGCTGAAAGTGGTGTATGTACTATTGTGCTCGGAGATACGACTACTGATGTGTTCGCCTGCGCTCGCTGAGCCGCCAAATGCGGCGCAGCTTCATCAGCCCTTAGCATTTGCAGCTGAAGTCTTTGCTCTAAGAATTCTCCGAGACCGGTCTTTTGAGCACTCCTGAAGTCTAAAGAGGCTCCACGCATGCGCTCTTGTGGGAAGTTTGCCGGTTCTAGATAGATTTTCTTCACGTAATCTCCTAGTAGGTTTTGGCAAAGTTGATAACGAAGATGATGCTGCTTTTTCACGGTGGCTCGTAACTCCTGTAAGGGAGACGTTGTCCGCTGTTGTTGTTCCGCTAACACTTCAAAGAAGTCTCTGTGCATGTTTAGTAACAGATTCAGCTTTGTGGTAGAAGAAAGGGTCTGGTAGTCTCCTTTGCAGAGCAACAAAACCGAGTTTTTTCCAGCACGTCTCTTCAAGAAATTCTTCAGGAGCACCTCTAGATCTGATTTTGACTGTCCTGTCATCGAACCTACAGCTGGTCCTTGGTCGATATCATCTGCTGCCTCCATCTGTTCTTGACCTTCAGCATCTGGAGTACTAGTAGTCTTCTTTGGCGGTGTTTCAGGTGCAATGATCGGAACTTCAGCAGCTGCATCCGCCAGTAACTCGCAATGACCGTCAGGAATGCCAGCCGCAGCACAACTTCGAGGTGGGCTTTCCTCTGTAGCTGCTCGTCTAGACGTAAAAAGAATGTTGGCACTGGCAGTAGTACTATTAATATCGTCTCTAGCACCTGCTGTGCCTGTAGCTGTACGGTGCTCATCAACATGACGAACTGGAACTCCTGTTTGACCTTCCCACTTCTCGAACAAACTCACAGGTGTCAGTTCAGCCCATTGCTGCCTAGTCAACACTCCCTCCGGGTCCTGAAACTTATTAGCCGCTCCCACGCCTGTTCTTTGCACTGGAAAAACTGTGACGTTTTCCATCCGACCATTTTCCAAAGCAGGAACTGGTGGCCAGATGATGTCACGCGTTGAAGGTGTTGAAGAGTCATTTGGATTTGCTCCTGTCAACAATGGCACATTCCTCAACGTCGCAAACAAATCCCACGCGGAGAGGATGTGTCGCCCTTCTTTATGCGAATTCAGATTGTCTAGTATTTTTTCCGGAAAGCCTTGACGTTTTGTCGGTACTAGAGCGGACCAAAATGGGCGTAGTCTCTCGCAAGGAAGAAGTTCGCTGAACATGCCGTGGTCCGACACGAGAAAAGTGATCAATCGACCTTGAAGCATGAAAGTGGCGGGTGGAGAGACAGAAGATGGTGGAGGAGGAAGAGGAGGAGGACGCTGTGAGGGTATATTAAATAGCATTAGCATTGTAAGTATTCTGAATAAGCGGCGAATTCTACCGGTCATAATTCGATAGAATAACTGAAAATGATGGAAGATGATGCTTCTGACCTTGCTACAACTTTATCTGAGACTAAAACACTTAAGTGCCTTTCTTATCATAATAGCCTTCCTCATCACTCGTCTCAAATGTCGCGCGATCATACCAGCTCGCCGTCTGAGGTCTAGATGTAGACCAAAATGGGCGAAATACAGTCGACTCAACAGAAACTTCGGTGGCGACTATGAAATGAAAAATATCATACTTCTCTAGAGGTTACGAAGTAGAAGACCTAGAGCCTACATTGTTGAAGTGAATACTCTCTTCTTAATGGACTTCTGAGGGGAAGGCCCTGCTTCCGCTTGGTTCCACAATGGGTATCAAATGTGTAGTGATCTTCTGATAGATGCAAGAGTATTTTTAGATACCTCGCGTCCATGGATTTGTATTGGATTTAGATATGGATTTAGATACGTAGAAGTTGTAACTCCTGCTCTCGTAACTCCTTCTTTCCTCCAACTCGCTCCAAAACGTCTTCGTTGAAGTCCAGGACTTGGTGGTAGTTCTTGGGTGACAGTGGTGGCAGGTTAACTCCACGCGCGAACATCCTGTCCCAATGGATGGCTGGGTTTGGGTTTCTAGTGGTTGTAGTCGTGGTCGTCGTAGACTCTGGTGTACTAGGCGTTGCGTTCTTCTCCACGACATCCATCATCTGCATTTTCATCATCATTTTCCCATCTGGTCCTCCACGCATATCCACAGCAAACTGCATGCCCTTGATCTCATTAAAAGCGTCCGAACTATAAGCGGTCTCATACCCGAAGAGCTTCTTGAGATAGAGAGGAAGATAGCGCTGACTCCAAGTTTTGTTGGGGGATTCGCAGTCTAAGCAACATCGTTCGCGCGCATCCTGCTCGGCTACGTTGGCATTTGGCTGGAAGGTTATCGTACTCGATAGGTTTGTGCGGTATGAAAGAGGAGAAGGCTAAAAACGAGATTTTTTGGTAGATATTGAAAATGATGCGACACTGTCGCTCTCCAAATTCTGAAAAATTGTGTAGGGTCGTGCACGAGCAGGAGCAGTCAGGTCGTGGAGAAATCTATAATTGAATAGAAACGAAGTACAACTAGTATCCGTATCGTAGCAGGGTGTATGGAGGAGTAGTTTGCGTTTGACTATAATTAGAGGTAGGTTTTTGGTGCTCGCTTACCCCGCTTGTTATGCCTTTCTCCCTTAGGAGAGGCATAAAAAGCGGTAAGAAAAGCACCTTTAACCTACCCTTAATATAATCACTTGTGAAATCTTCAGTAGATCCTGGTTAATCGTCAGATGATCACTTGTTGCTCGACCAGATTCGTAAGTGGTAGTCATGACTGCACATCCACCCGCTCCCGCCATATATTGCCGGAAAAAAATTTCCCATGGTCCCCATCTCATTCAATGTATGTGCACGAGGAAATTCGAGGAAATCAAAGTCCTTGTCTGCTCGTAGAGGATCTCGTCGAGGATCTCGTAGAGGATCTCGTCGAGGATCAAAGTCCTTGTCTGCTCGATCCTTCGAGTTCTGAAGATGGTCTCGGTCCTCTAGGTCCTCGTCGATGTTGTTGCTCCGCAGATCGTGGAGTAGCTCCCCTCCGAATATTTCCATCGCTATACGACTCATCCCATCCAAGACCATCACGTAGAGGGAATAAAAGTTGTGCTCTTGTTGTGAAGACGTAGAAGCTTCGCTAGGATCTGGTGAATCCTCTTCTTCACGACGATCTTGTCGAAGCTTGTTCCTGTTGGTTTTGTACGTCTTCTTTTTGTCCTCGTTGATGCTTCGTCTCATGCTCATCCTCTTTTCATCCCCACTCTCACTCACAATAACGGATTGCGCCCTTTCCGTCATAGAAGAGGTACTCCCAAAGAACTCCCTTTCTGCTGCTGCTTCCTCTGCATGGGCAGCCAGGCGGTCTAAATCAACACTATGCCGAATCGCGCATTCCGTGTCTAGAGGGTTTGCGAATGGCGATCTTATGGCTTTCCTCGTTTCCATCTGATGGCTTTTACTTTCTGCTGCAGCTCCTACAACAGGTTCTGGTAGTTCTCCTGTTTGTAAATGTAAAATTTCTTGTCCTAGTTTCGGCAGCAAATTGATGTGATTCTGATTCGATATCCGATTTGATAGCGAACTGGAGTCCTGCTTGAAGGCAATAGTGCCATGGTTTCTGCTCGTTTGTTCGGTACTAGAAGGCCGATGACTTGAACTCCATCGTCCTGGCGTCGGAGCCCTCTCCTGACTAGTTTGTGTTTTACTTTGATGACTACTCAGTCTTCCTGTTGTAGTTAGATCTTGATGATTAGAAGTTATTTTACTATTACTCCCACCACTCTGTCCTAATACCATCCCCTCTTCCAAAGTCTCCCTTAAATCCATCTCCCTGATGATGTTTTGCACCGCTGTAGTACGTAAAACCGTCTCCCCACCACATTGCATCCCTGAATACATGTCAACAGCTTCACAGATTTGGCCTTCTATTAGGGAGAACAGCTGCTGTGACCGCTGTGCTGCTTTCCTACGTTCTAGATCGTCAAGTTCTTCGTCTTTCTGTGAAGCAATGAAGTGTCTTACATCACCAGGGAAAACAGCAGGTTCGCTCGTTTTGCTGGTCTCAAACAACTGCACCCCGAGACAGTCACCTGCGACTAGAGGAAGAAATAAAGCTTGCTGTTGTTCTATGAAGCGAAAAAGTGCACTCACACTCAAGAAATTGGCTAGGATTTAAGTATGAAAATAGCCACTTTTTTTGAGGGTGAGTGCACTTTTTTCTTTCATATGTTCTCCTGTCTTTGTTGACGTCCTTTCCTTTCCCTTTTCCCTTGTAGTTGTTGGGCGTAGAAAATCTTCTGCTACTAAGCGAAATTTTCTTGCCCTTTTTGTCACACGTTTTGAAGAAGATGTACTTCTTGGTATCATCTCATCTGGTCGCCACACTTGAACTCGGAGAAGAGATGAGAGCAACGAAGTAGAAGTAGATCTACTTCTTGTTGATGTAGCTCTCCTTCTAGTTTGAGGAACAACAAATTGCAAGCCGCCTTGCCCGTCGTTGATGTCACCATCATCAGTTCCTTCCCGCCTGGTGTAGTCATATTCTCGACGCTCTCCACCTCCTCCACCCCTACCTCCAAACACGACATCCTCAATCACCCTCACGTCGCGAACTAGAGCGGCGCCGGCCTGCAAGCAGCTTCCTGTATCCAGGAGAATTGACGGCGTCTCAACGGCATGCCGGATTCGAGTTGCGTAGACTAAAACTGAAGAAGCCGAAGGCAGAGCGAGAACACAACCAAGCAAAAACTTCTCGGAAAGAGAAAGACGAATTATGAAGCCGCAAATGAAGAACGACCGTGGCGCCATCTTTTTGCTTCATCGAGTTAGGAAATAAAGCAAGGGCGATGTAATAAACTGCTTCTTCCAAAACGTCGAGCACCACATGTTCATGACATACTTGGAACCACCCAAGGCTTCACGAGTGCACATCTCTACAACCGATGTAACCTTGCAGTTCCTAAATGATGATACCCACATGATGATACCTTGTAGTTCCTAAATGATCCCTTTAAGTCATATTTTCAAGTCGGAGTAGCTCTATTAGCTTCATAACGTTTCTTCTCGTCCTGATCTGCAGCAATCAAATTTTTATCCTCCTCTCTACACTGCACTGGAAACCCGAGTAAGTATAACTTACTCGCTCGCTCTCTCAATATACTCAGAGACTCACTTCTCGTGGAGACGCAGATGCAGCTGGTGGAGGCACATACTGTGATACAGTTACATGCGGATCGTGCCTCATGATGATAGACTCTGCTGAATCACACATATCCTTCTTTGTCCTTACCCCTTGAAATACAACCAGTTATGAATGTGTATCATCTAAGAACTCCAATCCAAGACAAGAACTATGAAAGCCAAAAGGTACTTCTACAACCCATCACAACACTTCTCATCTCAAAATCCTAGTAAGCCAAAGCCGTAGAAGCTGACAAAATCCAAATTCTTACAGTAAGACGTGGCTGACCCTGCGACTATTAGCAGTACCCCTCCCAGCACCTCCGAGCTGCTAGTAAGCGGACCCCAATAGCCTCTCCCACCTCCTCGACGTGTGCACTATTGCTCGTTCGTTAAACCGTTTCATGTGGGCACTTGTTTGCTGGATATCGACATCCAACAGCTTCTGGAAGAGGTCTGGAATAGATCTGAACCTCCCAAGAAAGGGGTAGAACGCCCAATCGGAGCACTGTTAGAGGTAGCTTTTTGGTGCTCGCGGGTTCCCCCGCTTGTTATGCCCTAGTCCTCTCCTATCCTAAGGTGTTATGCCCTAGTAGTCCTCTCCTATCCTAAGGGAGAGAGGGGGCATAAAAAGCGGTAAGAAAAGCACCTTTAACGTACGACCCTTAATACTGCGCCCAAAACAACATGGCATCTGGGTCCAGCCTTCCGTACGTGTTGAAGTGTGGGCTTGGTCGATGCTCTGGTGCACATTAGAGGAGGAAGCTGCGGTCCTCGTGGTGCTAGTTGCATCATAATTTGTTCAGCAGGAGGTGGGATTATAACGTGAGCTACCAGATGAATCATGAGTACTATAATAGAGCAGTATATAGGCATAGGGGTGCCAGGTCCGGGATGGGATGGATCGGATGGACTTCCCACCATTTCAAGTAGGACCGGAAGAATCAGCAGGGCCCATCCGATCCATCCAAGTCCATCCTACATCCGTTCTATAAACTACTCTAGGGGTGTAACCATAAACATTCTTCTGCAAGGATGAAGATCATAAAGAAACAGGGAAAAGGCAAAGCCTCGACTAAGCTGGAGGGACACTATCATCCGGTGTGTTCTAACATGCTCTCGTCCTTTTTTTAACAACAGCTAACTATGATGATGATCGCCATAAACAGAACGCTGCCAAGGATGGAGTAACGGCTTTAGTTTTGTTTCTACCTTGGTAGAAGAGACAGTCTCTGCCGTAGTTTCTACCTTGGTAGAGACTGCCACCTCCGTGATGTCAACTCGTCGACACCATCTAGGATTTCTGATAGGCATCCTTGTTATTCTCAGTGTCAGTCTTGACATTTCGTCTCCATCTAGCACAGGTCGAGCTTCGAACAGCATGCAACTTTCTTTCGCGTATGAGTACTCAAAGGCGAAGCAAGACGATTGCTGTGCTGGTCGTTCGAGTGCTTTTGATGTAGAACTATAATGTTCGCTGCGAGCGAATGCCCCTTTTGCCCTACACGCGGATGCGCAGTCTCGAATCGTTGGTGTGGTTAGCTTCCATATCCTCTTTGAGTCATCTTCTTGTTTACTATTGTCCTGCCCGCCAAGACTTCCTGCTGCTAGTCTTGGCACTTCCCAGAAGGATAATTTCTCAGATCCAACACCAGCGACTCGTCCAGCTGCAAGTATCTCCCGTGTCTTGGACTTGTCTTTTATCTTCAGGTCCTCGTTGGTAGTAGGACTAGTAGTAACCGCCAAAAGATTTTGATCAGCCTCTACCTCGACTCCCAAAACTGTACATGGCCTAAAGCCAAATGTATTCATCTTAGTGGTCGCTTCGTCAGCTTCTGTTAAAGCTCGGCATTCATTGGTTACCGACTCTGAACGGAAGAGACGGAGACCCCCCTGAAAGCTCTCCCCTTTCCCTTCGTTTATTTCCGCTGTTCTACTCTCCAGGGAAGGTCGCCTCTTCGATCTCAGTGACTCCAATCTAAATGGTGACCATTGAAAGTTGAGCCATAATTCTGGGTGTCCAATTTCATTATCTCTCCCAACCCCTTGCTGGCCTCCCACATGATACTCCTGAAGAACGTGATCTTCAAAGAAGTTCCAACTTTCTAAGTCTGGTCTCGTGTGTTGTCCCCACATCCACCGTAACAGATGGCCACTCTTCAAATCAGGCACAAAAATAGGCACGGCCGAAGAATAGAGCTCCCAGTGACTTAGAGATTGAGATTCAGATTAAGATAGGCCTCTTTTTCTTGAGTGCTGTAGGTGTAAGTAAGCAACAGCTCCAAAACAAGCGAACCCTGCTACTTCTCTCGGAATAGAAAAAATCCCTTAGCCGCGTTAGTTAGCCTTAAAAACAGCATCAGACTGGTGTCGTATGGCAGCCAGACTGCAGACCGGAACTGATGGAAGAGCTCGTAAGGGAGTCTTTTTTCAATGTACACTTGTTTGACAGCATCTGGATTCGGATGGAATTGCCTTAAGAAATTTTCAAGAAATTGAAATTTCAAAGGATAATCTCCATTGCGTTGGAGAAAAGCGGCGAAGATTAGAGGAAACTTGTGGTCTGTAATTCTATTACTTACACTTGTGCGGCAACAACAATTATCCAGGATTTATTTTCTAAAGGAGCCCAACGACGACCGTCGCAGGATTTATACGAGGACATAAGAAGACACACTCCGCAAGACCGCCACTGGTGCCCACGCGTGATATCAGCACTGTCCTCATTGGATCATGGTCGACTTTGTGCTGGTCGAAAAAGGTAGGCGCTAATTTTGTTCCAGTTGGTGCAGCGTCAGCGTCTTCTATTGGTATTGTGCCTGTTGCAGGATTTTTCGGCTTCCCGTTCTTGAGGTTTTCTTGTCTCGCAGGGAAAAAGTTGCTATTCGTATGTAAGCCATGAACGCGCATGACCGCTGGCTTGATCCAGCCGTCACTCTTTTAGAAGCGCTAGTTTTTCACCATCATGCCTCCTTGAGTGGATTCCACACCACTTCTATGCCTGGTTCTTGCGTAGTAGTTTCCCCTTGATTTCAATTTATTCTAAGGGGATGAACAGCACACGACTCAGCACTATACCAGAGCAATTTATAAGGTTTCACAGCTCGCACGGCATGGACGGAGTGCATGGGTCACATGGAGTAGCATGGAGCTAAAGGGGGAGCTTCTTGCGCCCCTTAAAGCTCTGCGCTCCATGCTCTCCATGCTACTCCATGCGTGCTATAAGTATAAACTACTCTGTATATACTAGCCATGATACTTACAACATAAGTAGTAGTCCAGCACCTGGGAGGCGGAAAAAAACAAAAGTGAGAAACTATCCTTAACTCTTCCAATTCACTAGCTCCGCCAAGTAGACGTTATTTGCCAGCCATGTGACTCCTGGCCTCATCGCCAGGTCCATCATCTCTACGAAGTTGTCAATCCGCTCACCCCTTTGGACATCTTGGTGAAGTGGCAACCCCAAGTACATGAGCAAGCGCTTTGACGAGTGTTTCGATTCCAGTTGCTCGTCTAAAGTAGATGTTATGGATGTTCCTTTTCTTCGCCATCGTAGTTCTTGACTCTCTTCAACGACATCATCGGACGATGCTGGCAGAAACCTTTTGAAGAATCGACAGAAATAGAAAGGAATGGTGCACAAAATGGCTTCCGCTTCTCGAAAATTCACTGCTTCCGGGAGAGGGCTGTTCATCAGAAATTCCACCAAAGCAAGTTCGGTATCTCGGAGGCTCCACTGTTCTACAGGCTTTTGCTCTTTTGTGCCAGCTTCGAAGCCACGAGGTTAGACGCTTGCTTCTCTTTCTTGTATTCCAGAGAAAACTGACCTGGCAAAGAGCATCTTTGATACTCTGGGAGTTCTGGAAAATCACTCAGCTTTTGGTAATAGCTCTTTAGTCGTTGCAAACGTTCTTCAGGTGTTGAATGGTTCTGGTATTTGGTAACCTGAGTTGGATCCTAAGGGTTCTCTTCTTGTTTTCCCTTATGATCAAATTCAGGCTATACAACCAAATACCGGAACCAACATGGTACACCGATCATATTCTCTACTCGTCTGAGTCAACAACATTTGATAGACACTTCTTCTTGAATCTTCAACACTCACACACGAGTCAACATTTTTTTGAGAGGCACTTCGTCTTGATAGGCTCTTCTTTCTTGAGTCCAGATTTCGATTTATGTCGACGACGAGAGGAGGTTGCAGCCAAATCTAAATACACATTCTTCTTATTACTAAGAGACCTCCATTTCTTCTACAAGACGTAGCAACATTAGATTTCCACCTCCACCAGCAGTAGTTGTTCTCGATCTCGACTTTCTGCGCCTTAACGATAATGTGAGTTCAGTCTGAAAATCTCTGCTATGAAGTCTGCGGACTGCGGACACAGGTTGTAATTGGTGCAGAAGTCCAGGGCTAGAGAATTTCCGAAGAACTGCACCGGGCGCACGAAGCGATTGACGAGATCTTAGAAAGAGTCGATGCCATTAGCATTACTTCTAGAAGAGGATTATGTGGGCGCAAAATAGCCCTCTTCTTCAGAAAGAAGAGTCGCAAGCTTGTTCCACTGTACACTGTAAACAACTTCAGCGATATCACTTTAAACAACTTCTACATCTGCATAAATGAATAAAAAGGACACAACGACAAAAGCAAACCACTCGCCTAAAAGTTGTACATCTCGCCGGCTGTTGCAGTGTGTATGCACAATTGCCAGACAGTGTTAGATGAGCCCTAACCCAAACCCTGTTCATCCTAAATCCTAACCCTATTCATCCCTGTGGAAATCCCTCAAGTATCTATATGCGTCAGTATCTCCCTTGTATTGGGGCGCATATGTCTGAGGGATATCTATAGAAGGGATGGATTAGGGGAAGCCTTAACAGTGGGCTTCTTTGACGGGTCCTCTGATGGTGAATCATCTTGATCGTCTCCAGGAGGTTGAAAGAACATGCCATTCCTCTTCCCTTCCAGAAAAAAGCGATCCCACAAGGGGTGCTCAATTCGTTTCCGATATAACGACCAAGCATCTTCGGTAGTTGCATCACCGAGGACTGGGTGGAAGGATGCTGGAGGAGGGCTAGTGGTGGGAGATGTGGCGGGACGAAATACAGTCCGACTGTAGTCAGCAGGCTGTTCTGCTGTGTTTCCGCTGTTTTCTCCGATTCCTACTGCGCCTGCCCCACTTGTTGTCGTAGGGGGTGGTACTAGCCTGGTCGCGATCGGGGATGCAGGATGGTCTAGGTTTTTCAAATTCTTCAAAACCAAATAAGCATTGATGGGCCATCCTGAATCTTCTTCAGTATACGGAAGATTAGAGGTCGTGGTTGAAGTACCATGACTACCAATCAGAAGTCAGTCCTTCTAATATGCAAGAACATGAGAATGAAGTAGCGGGAAGAAAAGCAAGTAAAAAATAGCGGTCAACATATCAAAAGCACAGGTAACATGATTATGATATCAGGTACAGGTATGGGTATCTCAAACTCAATGACGAGATGAATAAGATCATTCTACTAACAAAATAAATTCGTATTCTGCCCAGATGAGTAAGATTCTAATAAAAAGCTCTCAAATGCAAATGCATCACCCGCACCATAAAGAAAGCAAGGTAATCGCCGAGAAGGTACCGTGCAAGATGGAGGTACGTTTTTGCCTGACTCTCCTCCAAATTCAATTGACTTGCACTTGCGAAAACCACAAAAGCTGCAAACGCGTATCCTAGGAGACAGAAGCGCTCACCTCTACTGGTGGGTGGTTTTTGGCCACGTTTTAGATATTAGGGATGGGATGGCTTGAGGGGACGCTACCGAGAAGACCCTGCGAAGAGCGAGTGGAGCTGCTCTGTAGCTGCGCACCCGCACGATAAGCGAGATCGAGCTTGCTACATTTTCAAAAAAATATTTGATCTTCTTCATCCTCCATGATCATAAAGTTGTTGACCCCACCTCTAATATCTTCGCAGGCAGTCCCCTATTCCGGAAGTAGTGTTGCACAAGGTACTTGTCGAAAGTATGGTCTGGGCATTGTGCTTGTAGATCCCGGACATGGCGTAGTCCACCATCTAACTCTCCTGAGTAGTTTACAAGCACTTCCTGGTACCCGAAAGCTATGTCGGCAGCTGCGAATATGATTTCGGTATCGGCAAGAAAGGGAGCGACGTCTTCGACTAAAAAACGGCAAGCATTAGAAGACCAACATCGATCATGAGAATGAGAAAGAGCGTACCATTTAAAAGTGCTCCAAACCCACTTAAAGACCCTAATATTCGTGCACGAGGAAGAAGTTGAGGCGACGGGGGTAAGAACATAGGAAATGTGTTGTATTCCTCTATCGTTGTGTGCAACCACCTGTATAGTCATGACTTCAATCAGTACTACAACCCATATGCATAACTTTAACTGTACTACTACTTCCCGTAGTACGGGAATCGACTTGCAGCTTCTCCTGTACTAGGTGCCTCCAGTAGAGCCACTGAGGACTAAAGAACTGCGGATCATCACAAGCTAAGACTGACGGATAGCGGAATCTTCCGGTGGTGTTGTTTGTATTTCACATTAGAGATTGCGATTGGGTTGAGGAAAATCGACGTGGTGGCCGTCGAGAGTGTTGACGAGTGACTTAAAAGACTCGGTGATAGATGGAACTGCTAAAAATAATCACTCATTTTTTTGATACGACTCGGAAAAAAACTCGACATTCTCCACGATGTTTCAGTACGAAGAAGAACATAGTGTATTGATGTTCCCTCGTATCACGAAGAAGTGCGTCGCTTGCAAATACACCAAGAACCCGTAACTCTAGTACTTGGGAAGCTCCGACGACCTCAACATCGCGAAGACCGGTCGCGATAATCAGCAAGATGACTGGAGGAAGAAGACGGAACAGCAGGTATAGATCACCAGCTCCACGTCGTCCACTACCAGTTAGGTGGATGAAAGTCATGACAATCACGTAGGGTTCTTGGTGCTTTTTCAAGAGCAAGACCAGGATGATGACCGTCTTACCCAAGAGCCTTGTCCAGACCGCGAACCTTGTCCAGACCAGTATCTTTTTCACTAGCTAGTTAGCTAGCCACTTCAGCAGTTTTGACTTTCATCTGAGGATGAGTACATTATTACGTGTGATATTCTAACGTGGTCGCTAGAAAAACAGAGATGTGGTGGTCGTGGTGTGCGCACTCAATCGTGTGGTTACTTAACTTTGACGACAGACTGCTTTTGAGGTTGTAGTATCTCGGTGGGCGTCGACAGAACGAGCAGGCTTTTCCAGTTTGGACGTGGACGTGAAAAAGGAAATGCGAGAGGACACGCTGCAACGAGAAACAAGAGGCAGAAACGAAAGTACAAAGATGATCGCGGCCATGATATTCTACTTGTGGTACTGGTTTGCTGGATAATCGTATGTAAGTAGAAAGCCTCCCTAACTAAGCAACGAGAGTTCTGTTCTAGAGCGAGAGGAGCTTGAAGACAGTTACTGGCGTTGATCTTTGGTGGCTGGTAGAGTAGTAGGTCTCTCATTTGCGCTGCGAAAGAACTCCATAAGGGCTTCCGCATAAGGAAGTCTCTCTACTTAAATTAGAACGGTCACGCGATAATTTGGGGTCTATGTTATGACTGAGGTGTTTGGCTCTGATTCGTTAGATGGGTTTTGCTGAATTCGTTGACCGTTGTCGGAGATCTAGTAGAACATTTAGAACCGGCTAAAGCTGATCTATTTCGGATCTCATCTGTGCGGTGGGTTCTCAATCGTCAAGATTCAAAACATGTAACGCCGTAAGCTTTAAAGCTTCGGATTGATGGCATAAACTGCCACCAACTAATTAGCGCAGAAAGCGCTAAGGCGATCGATCGCCCGACCTCAATTTACCCAAGATTTAACAAGTGAAGTCGTAATGTAACTTTCGAACAATTCCGCAGAACTTGATGCATGTGGACACGACGTCGAGTGAGGACAAGGACGAGCGAAAAGCAGTCTTCGTGCCAACGTAGTCGACACATGATCAAATAAGGGCAAGTATTTCCATGACCCTCTTCGCAGGGAGTAGTGTTCGTGCTGTTTCTAAAAAAGTAGTTTTTTCTACTTGTTTTCATTTTCTTCTCATTTTCTTCATCGCAAACGCAAGAAAGCGACAAACTCTCATTATCTTCATGCTCTCAAAAATTCTGATGCATTTGGAAACTGATTGCCTCCATCTAACACTAATCGAAATCGTGATCGTCTTTTTATCAACTCTAACATTTGCCGAGTAACTACGGCCAGTATGAAGTCAACAACAATAGAAGAAGTAGCACAACAAGATGGACGTAGGTCCTTTAAGTTGGAGGTAGGTCCTCTGGTACAAGACTTGTCTACTACATCAAGTACTCCTCGTGACATTTTTTACATTGGTGCTTGCTCTCCGTTTCAATGCCTTGGTTTTGGAGGTTGAGATTAGATCACTACTACATCTCGCTCACGACGAACACGATCTGGGTTAGGTTAGGTGTGGGTCTACTCGGAAAACTAGCAAGCAACTCACAACGAAGACGATCTAGATCCACCTCATAAATAATAATAGTCAAAAATTGTTTTTGTTCTTTGTGGTCTAATAGTTTTTGTAATCGTGTCGTCCTTTGATCTCTCTGTTATCTAGAAGCACTTTGCCAGAGAAAAAGATCATTACGACAATTGTGCTAGGAGCCAAGCGATTTGAAAGTGCTCTAGCCTCAAAAAAACACAGCTCAAGATTCAACTACATCTATGTAGTAAATCTAAATTACTGTATTTACATGATCTCATCTAATACGAGTAACACGTCAGCACTAGTACAAGATAGCAGCTCCGGTTGTAGTTTCAGTTTGGCTGTACAATAAGCAAGTCCTTGACCTTGAAGATGTTCTCTCGAATTCACCGACTCTTTTTTCTCTTGGAAATCATGGAATTTTCGTTAATAACTAGCAACTTAACTTTTTTCGTTCAATAAAAAATTTTCCATCTTCATTTTGATAGTTGTAGTCTTGTCAAAACTGTGAAATGGAACAAACTCCTGTAACTGTGATAGTGATGCTGCTAGTGTTAGTGAAAATATCGGTTATAACTTCCTGCTGACAAATGAGTAAATCTATCGATCTTGTCTAAGGAAATCTGAATACATTTACATCTTCTATCGATCACGATCATCATCCTCATGCCCATGGTGCTGCCCCATGGCCTTATGCATGATCGTCTCCACTGCTAATAAACATATGATCAAGCAATCGATCATAAGTCATAGTCAACCTCATCGTAAGAATTGTTAGGGGGATGGTGCAAATTAAATCTGTCCCTTTCATTTCAACTAGCGTGAGTCTTTCTCTCTCCAACGTGCTGTTCGTTAGAGAAGCAGAAACACATCATTTAGTAGATTTTTAGAACGGATTTAGAGTACGTCTACATCTGCCCTGCTCCACAACAACAGCTCATGTTAGTCGACTGGTCAAACGGATACAACCAAAATAAAACCTCCTCATCTTCTTACTGTTATTGCTCATCTTCATAATTAGAAGCACATCAGCAACTTACTGCTCATGATAATACTACATCAGTCAGCACTTCTTCTATCTTCATCTCAAAATCTAAAAAATATGTCATTTTCTTCCACGTTCTGATGGACGTGGCTACCTTGTGTGCCAGCTCGACGACTTGTGTCGTCGTGTTCGCTTATCCACCTGTAGTCTAGTACCACTTCTACACTTGGTAGCCCTCTAGTGTCACTACCACACCATCATCAAAGAACGATACATCATCCATAGAAAAAGTACAACTGCTGAAAAGGTGTGCACATCCTTACGCATAGAGAAATGCTAACATCCCCCAAAGGTAGTTGTAGTTGTACATCTCCCTATCCTCCTATTTTTGTCCCCTATTCAGTACCTCTTGAGTTTCCCTAAGTATCTCCTTCGACCTCTTCCACCCCTAGTACTTCATCTGTCGTCGCCTAGTATCTACCACTTCTTATTTATTCCCGTATCTGCAACCCGATCTAGCCACTTTTCTCACCTTCATCCTACTACCACCTCCTCTACCAACTCCTTTGATCCCCGATCCACCTTGTTCAACTATCCTTCCACTTCCTCTCGTTCTTTTAGTCCTATTTTTGTTTTACAACCCCGCCATTTACAACCCCTACCTCGCTCCATCATTCTTCCACCTTTTCTTCTACCCTAAGGGGTCGCCCTTTCATCTTCTACCCTAAGGGGTAGCCCTTTATTCGCTCTCCATCACTACTAGATGAACCCTCAGCAGCAAGAAGAGCCTTTCGACTCTGACGCGGCCTCTTCGCCTTTTCGGGCTGCGATCTCAGCCTTCTGCCCGCTTGTCGCTTCTGGCGCTGCTCATATTAGAATCTCACTCTTAAACAAAGACCACCCTGTAAGACAAATCAATAGATGCAGGAATTGTAATTTCACTGCCTCCTTAAAGGAATTAGATGTAGTGACTTCACTGCCTTAAGGTAATTCGATGTAGAGACTTCACTGCCTTAAGGGAAGTGTGAATAAGTAGATTTGCCTGTCTTGAGGGATTCTATCTGAGCAGTGACTGCCTTAAGGGAAGCGGCTTCCACAATCGTTTTGCGAACCAGCTGACAGCATAAGGCGCGAAACCGGGAACCACACGTCGAAAGCCATCGGGTGCCACTTCCTTCTTGTCAAAATTAGAAGAAGACAGACTACAACACTTGAGTTGTTGAAAACTCTCTTACAGAACGAAGTGGAATACGTACGCCTCTGAAGAATATTAAAGCCCTCTGAAGACAGAGTAAAGCCATAAGTGGGTCCGGAAGAAGCGGGGAAGCTACGACGTTGTCTCCATTCACACACGGCCCCATGATCCAGTTGCGACTGGCCGTGGCGACGAAGATGATATTAGACTGACTAAGAATGATGCCGATCATGTTGTACTAAAAGTGCTGGCGAGGCCCTCAGGCACTACTAGAAGTAAGCAACTGCGAAGTATTACGTCCCTCGCCTTGGTGGCCAGTAAAAAGAAATCCGTCAAGCAAAGGGAGGAAAGAAGAACACTTGCGGCCTCGATGGCACTTCCGTGACGCGCCCACGCTACCGAGTGAAAGCAAGGCCCAAAAGCTGACTGCCAGATGGCACACAGAAACACCCAGGGCGTTGCACGCCGCTGGCCTGCCGGCTGACTGTCATACAAACTAGCTACGCAGGCGCCGTCGCTCTCACTCCCTGCCCACGACGGCGCGCAACGCTCTCCCCACGCAGTTCAGAGAAGCCACGAGCGCCCGACCGGACTGGCAAAGCGCCTGAGAGTCCCGAGCGCGCGCCCAATGTCTAAAAAGCTGCCTTGTTCTGTAGCCTACACGACGAAAACCACCAAGAAAAAAGCACCGCGTTCTGTAGCTTACACGCAATCAGCCAAAGAAACTCCACGAAGACCAAAGAACGACAGAGGCGAACAAAAGCCGAATAATTTGGGCCACATCCTCAGGCGCAGCGGCCACATTACCGACGACCCCTTCACAGACCTGGCCAGCGCCATGCCGACGCGATTCATGAAGAGAAGACACAGACACAAACAGAAAAAACAAGCAGCCAGATTCCCGGGCGCCAAAGCCAAAACCCCGGCGACACTTCCACAGGCCTGGCCAGCGCCATGCCGTGGCGATTCATGAGAAGAAGACACACAAACAGAAAAAACAAGCAGCCAGACCCCCAGGCGCCAAGGCCAAAGCCTCAGTGACACCCCCACGGACCTGGCCAGCGCCGTGCTGTCTCCAGTCATGAGACGGAGACACACAAACAGAAAAGACAAGCAGCCAAGCCCCCAGGCGCCACGGCCAAAACCCCAACGACACCGCCACAGACCTCGCCAGCGCCATGCCGTCACGCTTCATGAGGAGAAGACGCACAGACAGAAAAAGCGGGCAGCCTGATCCGTAGGCGCCATGGCCAAATCCCCCACGACACCCCCACAGACCTGGCCAGCGCCATGCCGTCGCGATTCAAAAGAAGAAGACAGACGAACAGAAAAAACAAGCAGCCAGACCCTCGGGCGCCAGGGGAAGCAGAAAAACACAAACCACGCAAACACAACAAAAAGAAACCGAAACACCCCGACACGGCTACGGCTTCTCTACTGTTTTTGGCAACTTTTGGACGGTGGTGCCTTCTGCATGTTTTTGGACTCCTTCCACCCTATTGCGGTGGCGATTTTTTCCCACTTTTTTCGGGCATGTCAGCGCAATAAATACGAAGACCCTTCCCCACGCGCGCCTGAAGGATTTCCTTTGTCAAACGATGAGGATAGTCATCGCTACAGGCTGCGCAGCTGCTATTATCCATGTTTTGTAGGGTCTACAAGTGGTGCTGTACTTGTAACAAGAATGTACACCTTGTTCGAAATTCAAGAAATGCAAAGGAGTAGAAGACCGTGATGTTGCTGTAAGCAGTTGCACGCGTACCACTACGAGCACCAGCAGATACGACTATATCTGTCAATAAGTCCCTCAGTGGAGAAACTACAAAAAGACGAGGAAACCCCTTCTATATGTTCTTTGAGGGCCAGCAGTTCGAGAGGTGTTGCCTAGAGCGAGGCGACGCAAGTGTGGGCGACTCTAATTCAGTGAATTCGCAGCGGCTGGGGGGATGATGAGTCCGAGTCTTATACTTTCTTAGCAGGCAGATGATGCCATATCGTTCTTCTTCAGTCAGTTACAGTTTACGCTAGGGTGGGACCCAAGTAAGCATAGGTAGACGTCAGACTCAGAGACTACTGAAGAGCCAAAATTTAACTTGCTCCTTCATATGCTACAGCTGGCGATGCCACTCTAACCTTTTTTTTGCCGCTTGATGATTTTAGGATAGGATAGAATAGGATGCCTTTGCTGAGCCTTTGACGCGCCGTAATGTCATGTCCGCTTTTCCCGGTGAAAGTGGTCCCGCCTGGGGGACTATTCTTCGATGCAAAAATGAAGCGATTCGGGCTTTTATGCAGAGGCCCTTCAGAAGCATGTGTAAGCAAGATGAGACACAGGAACAAAGTTCACAACCCTGTAAGACTCTTGGAGGTGGCCATAAGCATAAGTACTAGGCTATTCTATATACTTAAGTACTCACTCATGTGTTCCACCCAGGCCAACACTTTTTTTTTTGTAAGTATCCCAAGAGCAAGACCGCCGAAAGGGTGATCCTAGTTTTATCCAGTTCGCAAACCGGCGGCAGGTGGAGTCCGATCGCCTCCTTATATTACTGCGCACTAATTGCCTACGAGCCTGCCGACTTTATTTTAAAATGGTGAGCGAACCCCAGGAGTAAAGGAGGCGGGTTAAGAGTCTTATCTAGACCTCCACCGGCTGCCAACCGTCCCGCTCTTATACGCCTGCCTACAACAAGTAGGCACGAGGGCAGGGCCGCCAACTCTGCTTACTCTTGACTAATGCGCAGTCCACTGACAAGGGAACAGCTAGAAGCATATGGCTACTGGCGTAAGGCCCTACGTGCCCCATGTTTTTCGTTGTTCTTGTTGGGAGTGCACTAGCCTAGTTTTTCTTATCTTCACTGCTTCGCGCTCCCTCCTTCGCCCCGTGCACCATCCTCAACCGCGTCCCGCTTCCACAATCGCCATAAAAAAAACCAAAAAGAAAATCAGAAACCGGAGGGCTTACTCCAACCAAAGGGGCTACCCTATGCCTGAGAGCCACAACTCTGCCAAGAGCGGGCGAGAGATAAAGGATCGGCGAGGGAGAGCGCTGGGACGCTCTCCCCCTTTTAAATTCCGTTGCGAGTAAGGTCCGAAGCATTCCTATCCTTCCATCCTTCTGCTTTTTGTCCGTAAACAAGTCCGCGCCCCTCGCCTCACAAATAACAGAATTGGAGAACACTCTAGATTAAGCCCTTGGACTTGCACTTGGGGGGTATGATATGATGCATCAATATCTATCCGCTTTAATCCTAATATTTCAACTCATGGCCGCATTTACGCACTTCCTCTTACGTCCCTTATTTCCGTCAGTATCAGTAGCTCGGTTATTTCTAGTCTTCGATTACTAGCAGTAAGTAAGTAAGTAGCCCATAACGAGCACTCGTCGCATGCTGGCTTCATCGTTATTGGAGTCACCCAGCGACATCGCGGTCCTGCCACTATGAAAGGGCCAGCTTCAATTACGCTACGAACAAAGGATCAGTGAATCGCTAACATCACTAGCGAATTGATAGGGAATATATGCACCAAGGAGGGAGGCCCCCCCGTGGATGGAGCTGCGACGGCGTCAGCGTGCCCTTTTTTCCGCGGTGCTGGTGTGCAGATTGTCGGAGGCGAAAGACTCAAAACCGGAGCCCCCCGGTGGCTCTCCGCGTGTACCCTGCAAGCGTCCCAAATTTTGGACAACAACGAGACCACCCCCGGGGAGAGAAGGCCGCCGAAGGCAGCCACGGTCGCGAGGCCTGGCCCCTTTTGCTGGGCTGCCCTCATCGTCAGCCGCCACCAAACGCCCGGGGAGGTTGAGAACCAAAGGCGAGGAGGGGCGGAGGCAAGGCGTGCCCGGCTGGGTCCTGACTGTCCCCAGCTGGGTTCAGCCAGATACATGCAGCAGAGCACGGCGAAGGGGGTCAAGCCTTGCCACCTGCTGCCCCCAGGGGCCTTCCACCTCCCCAGGAAACTCTCCCAGCGAGGGGCCTGCACGCTGGGTGCCTGTCAGGTACATTCAACACGGTAAGGGGGTCAAGCCTTGCCGCCTTCAGAAGTCTTCCACCCCTGACCTTCGGTGCCTGAACGGCCTCAGGCGCTTGGGCTCTGTAGGGTACACGCAAGGGGCCACAAGGGTGCGGCGGTGGGCGTTTGGAGCCCTTCCCGCTTGGCAGTCCCTCAGGAAAAAGGGTCCGGGGCTAGAGCTCCCCTCAGGCGCCTCCCTAGATGCGGGGTGCTCTCTAGCCCTGATCCCGGGAACATAAAACTTTTCATTATCCAAAGTAGACTATGTCCGAAGTAGACTATGTAAACTCCACTGTGTAAGCGGTCGACGACGTTCCAACTTCAATTTCAGGGGGTCTCGTTTCAGCCTGGACGCTAGGCGCGACATGCTTTCACTTTAGGCGGTTGTGAACAACAGTGCTGAGAGCGAGGTGGAACCGCGAGAAGTAGACTCGGCAGAAGTAATTCAGAAGCCCAGCTTGTTGTCTAATAGAAGTAAGCACTTAATTCAGACACCATGCCATGCCATGCAGCCTCTGGCCCTGACCTGTCTGTCAGGGTTGGGGCCATTCATTAGCCTTGCAGTTGCACTTACCTATAAAAGTAGAACTAATGACACAAGCGCCCAGACTGTGACATTGACTGATTGGCGATTTTCCACCAAGCATCTTATTGATCGTAGTGCTTTGCTGTAGAATTTCAGTCGAAGCGCTTTGCTGTTGTAGAGTTTCAGTCTATGGATGACCAAGAAGTAGACGCAATCTTTCGTAGAGAAGTTTTAGAAAATGTCATCCGTAGTGTCGAAAGTAGTAGTAAGAACTAGATGTCGAGTAGTACTGATCTCCAGGAGTTGTAGCCATCATGTTGATTGATAAGCACCTGCTTTACCACTAATACTTTTGCATCTTCATCTCCAACATTTATCTTATAATATATCATCGCCGGTTATGATGCTAATACATTTTATCGTCTTAATAGGTCCGCTTGCCTGTCGCTACAGAAACTTCAAGAGCCTGATTGCCTTGTAGTTTGTCAACGCCAACTGCTGCAACGGCGAACTCGCAGGCTCCGCTAGTGAGGACGTTGCATTAGAAAAGGGAACTCATATAGAGAAAGAGAGCTCACGCATGAGTTCACTAGAGAACTCACGCATGAGTTCACTAGTACTGTACAGAATAACATTAGATGATCCACCATGATGCAGGCTGTACCCCGTAGCTCGTGTTTGTAGCATGTAAAGCTTGCAACACCTCCTCCGCCCATCCCCACGTGCCCCCGGCATGTGTGCACGCGGCTGGGGGCACGCCACGTGGGCGGCAATAACCTTAGATGACCAATCACAAACGCAACGCATGCTCTACCAGTGAGCCTATTGATGGAGATGGCGCGAATCTATTCGGCAACCTGCCTAGGATTTCCCTGGCGACTTCTGCCCGCTATCCTAGCTCCATGCTGGATTGTCATTGGTCTTTCGCGTGTTCCTCTTGGTCCTGGCATCTACAGAATGACGAGCAGGCTTGCGTGTGGTTTGCTACTTGCGACCAGAGGCTTTGGCCTATTGCTTTTTCTAGTTGTAATGTGCGCACCTTGCTTTGGGGTCAAAGGCCACCAGCCAGTGAGCCTATTCAGGTAAATAAGTGACGCCTCGATGAGTTGTAGTCGTAGTGTGCTCAACTTGAGGCAGCAGGGTGATACATCAATAAGACCAAGAGCAAATAAATCCTGGATCGACATCTTCGAGCAAGACTGTTATGACAAAGAAGAAGAAGACGACGGAGACTCCACCTCCAGATAAAGAATTGCTCCGATTCATAAATCTGTAGGTCGAATTGCAAGTCAGGGTAGCGACCGATAGTGTCTTCATCCATCGTAATGTATGGGCTTTGCCCTTTCTTCGTTCCTGCCCTCATAAAAGGCCCGATCTGTGGTAACTCTCCTCCGATCAAATCCCCATGCTCATTCGTGGATTCTTGTTAGAGGAAGAGAAGTAGAGCGATGAACTAAATGGTAATGGTTTTTTTGAAATCATGAATTCTAAATTCATCACAATCGAAAGGCTGGACTCAAACGGACTGGGTGGGTTCTTCACCTACTTCTACCTACAACCCTGAATATATACAGGAGACGCAAATGCAAATCCACTTCTCTAATATCTTTACCCCTCTAACTATGTAGTTCTTAATAGCAAGTTCGTCTGAAGTTGATGCAAGTAGGTAGATAAACAGGTTCTACTTCCCCTCATTGGTTTATAACGGTAAAAATAGATGATAGCGGAACGAACAGGCCAACGCCGCAGTTGGTTTACAGCTAGAGAGGCGCTGGCCTGTTCACAGCTTACGCACCTGGTTAATCATGATCATGATCGTCGGCGTCTGACATTATCGACTACCTGACTGCTCATCAAGAAAAGCTTCAGCTTGTGTCCCACCTTTGCCTTGTCGTGTTCCTTTGTTTTCTACAAAGTCTACTGTAGTAAGTCGTGACCAACGTTAATATGTGAAGAAGAGCCTTCCACGCACTTGTTCAGATTATCGCGTCAATTCTCTTGCCAACTTCTCAAGAAAAGACAAGCTCTGCTATCTACTGGAAGGAGTGGGCGCTAGAATTAAAGAGCCAAACTAAAAAACAACAACGACCCCCCAAACTCTCAGCCCTTCATTTCCGAGCCGAAAACGCTCCCACTTCTGACTTCTGACCCACGAACTCACAAACCCACGAAAGAACCCACGAGCTTACGAACTCGCAGACCCGCGAACCCACGAAAGAACTACTGGCAAACCCGCGAACCCGCGAACTTAGAATGGGTGGGAACTCAAAAACTCGCAAACGCACCCTCCCAAGCCTGCAAGCTCGCAAATAACTCGCAAACCCGCACGCAAACGCGCAAACCCGCAAACGCCGCAAACACGCAAACCCATGAACCCGCGAGCTGATGATCCTGCGAACTTAACTCGCACACAAACGCGCAAACTCGCGAGCCCACAAGTCCGCGAGCCCATGAACTAGCCAACCCGGGAACCGATGATCTTGCGAACGTATGGGCTTATGAACTTACGAAATTGCGAAGCTTGAGAATTGGTTAGGTCTGACATCGCGCAGATCCATCGTTGGCACGAATTTTAAGGCCTACGCGCTAAGTCAAAATTTTTACGACTTGAACTCAAAAAACTGAAAAAGGGCGCAGGAATTGGCTAGCTTTGAGCCCACGCAGATGGGCGCTAAGTTTGAATCTTACGCGACAAAGCCAAAACGAACCGTGACAATTTGAACCCCAAAAGTTTTAACTTTTCAAAAATTCGCGACGATTCCCAGGGGCTTCTAAATTGTATAACATTCCATGGAGGGCGTAGGCTTAAGCCTTAAAGTGTCAAGCTGAAGGCCCACGCCTGAAAGCTCAAAGCTGAAGACCCAAAGCTGAAAGCCCGAAGCCGAAGGCCCAGGCACAACGCTCAAAGCCCATAGCTGAAAGCCCAAAGCCCAAGGCCGAAGCTTCAAAGTTGAAAGCCCAGGCTTTGAGCCCAAAGCATAAAGTTCAAAAGCCAAAGGCGAAAGCCCAAAGCCAAGTTGAAAACTCAAGACAGAAAGCCCAAAACTGAAACAGAGCGCGAAGCCGAAGGCCCCGGGCTAAAAGTCCAAAGCCAAACGCTTAAGATTAAAGGCGGCGCCTCAGGCTCAACGCCTCAAACGAAGTCGCAAGCCTGGGCCTGGAAGTCCAAGGCCTTTGCCCTTATCCAATACAGACGAAGCCAAAAGGATTCCCGTCCAAATCTTTCGACTGTATCACAAGAAGAGGAATCTCGACAAGCTGAAGGCCCGCGCGCTGCAACCTGCACGCAAAGAAGGCCAAACCTACCAAAAAGAAAGCAGACCGACAAACCAGCGAATTCGGTCTGCGTCTGTGCCTTTTTAATCAATAGCCGCACGCCGCCCCCCGCCCAGCTCTTTCCCAAGCGATCAAGATCGACGCCGCCAGACGCTTGGCGGGCGGGGGAGGAGCCGGGGGAGCGGAATCGCGCTTGGGGTGGGGAAGTGCGTGCCGGGGGTAGATGATCCTAGTGGGGGAAGTGCTGCTGGGCGCTCAAGTCTATTTTTACTTATCTATAGGCTTAATACGGGGTGAAAAAGGAAAAAAGAAAAGACGAGGGGGAAAAAGATGAAAATGCGGTCGATTGGAGAAAAGCTACGCTGAGGCGAGCCTGCTTCCCCTACTCCTCCGGTAAGGGAATACCACTAGGCGGAAGCCACATCAACTTTTCGTGACTCGTGGAGTAGCAAGCACCCAACTTCGGCGGAAAAACTTCAGTCATATGAACCGAAGGGCTTTTACCTTCAAACATCGGAAACTAGAACCGTCCAGCCGAGACCAGACCAACAAGGTCCGAAGGGGCATGGCAGGGACCCCATGGACGGCGCTGCACACCCTAACAAGACGCCAGGGCCGCAGAGGGATCAAGATGCCGACGTCCCGCCCCGGTGAGCGTCAGCGCGCCACACGATAAAGAGCCCCCCCAGCATGTGGCCCTTAGCATAATCCCCGAACACCAGAGCACACGGCCAGCAGCCAGGACGGCGCGTACCCCTCCAGTCCAGCAGCTACCCCCATTCCCCGAGCAAGCGGAAGCAAGCGCGCTATGCCGCAAAGAAATTCAGCTCCCCAACCCTGGACGACAATGGGAGGCCGACTGCTACGCAAAGCGACCTCGGAAGAGCTTGGGCCCAACAATGGGCCGCCCATTGCATCCCGCACAAACACAGAACAGAGCCTGCGCCACCAACTTCCAAGCCCGAGCGAAGCACCCCCTCAGCTCCGCCAATTGAATTCTCAGTCCCGCGCCTGCAAAAAGTCTGGCGTTCGAGCTCGAACGCCAAGACTTGAAAACCCCCGACGCCAGGCTCCTTAGATTTCTGACAGGAGGCAAAAGTCTGGCGCTCGAGTCGAGCGCCAGGGTGTTTCCCTGTCCACAGACCGAACGAGTGGCCCCTGCTGCGTCAGTCTTTGGACAGGAAAAGCCTCCGGGGTTCCACTCGAACGCCAGACTTTTGAACAATCCCAGAAATTGGCCATGGTCGTCCTCGTCGAAGGTTCTCAAATCCTGGCGCCCGAGCTCGGGCCCGGGCGCCAGACTTTTGTCAGTCTCAGAACTGAGATTTTCCTGAGACTTGCCGCTCCCCTGCTGGTCACGGCTTAGGCAAATGGACCCCAAGGCCTGGGGTGCGGGGCAGCACCCTGTGGCTGTCTGCGTGCCTCACGGCGGATCCACGTATCCACCCCGGCGCGAAGAAGAACTGCACGGCCGCCCCGTCCGGCCCATACAATGACCATGCGCGTGCGCCACGCCGCGTGACACCGTCCACGCACCCGCCGCCGCCACACAATGGAACCGCCGCGCCAGGGGCAGCACGGGAGCCGGCGCACCGGTCCAGCACAAGGGCACCGCTACAGACGCGGCCCGGCGCGTGTCAATCGAGGCCGGCGGAGGTTCGTTGCGTTGGGGGGTGGGCAGCACCCCCCAAAAGTCAACCCTCCCCAGTAGTACCGCGGAGCGCCCGCGTTGTAGTTCTAGCGATTGCGCACACCCTCAGCCCGGTTGGACAGCGCGAGCAAAGTGGAAGGCAGTGGCGTGGCCTGACTCCAGCGGGCGCGTAGATGCGTCGCGCTGTCGCCATTATTCGCCTAGTAGACTCCACGGATCTTTTTCCGCCGACGAAACGTTCTAGAAACGCAAGTCATGAAACTTTTATTTTTGGATTTGTAGAAGTTTCCGCATGCATTTTTCGTCTAGTCATCATGTAAAGCCATTTATAGTCTCAATTTCTCTTATTTCAACTACTTGTGCTAGAGTTCAATTGTGCTAGTTCCAAATGGATCGATAGATTGATAAACTATGACTTTCTGAATCTATCGCCGCCTGTGCTACAGGGAGCATGCGTACTATCTATGTAGTAAACTAGTTCTACTTGCCGTAGTCGAATCTGTTGTACATGACGCGCAGTGTTCCAGCGCGGCTCAGAAACGCGGCGAAATCCTCCGCGTCCTCATCCGTTAGAAGACCGTTAGTTCCTGTATGAGTTATCAAAGCAAAAAGTAGCCTACGCATAAATTTTTTCTGAAGCTGAAGAAATAAGCAAAAAGTAACTAGTACTTGAAAAACTGAAATAAGCGAGGAGCCGACCAGAATCGCCGAGATTGATACTCAACTTAAGAGGAATGCACTTAGGATAGCGCTCTTATTTTAGTCACTAACTCGGCTATTTCTAGTTTTCGAATACTTGACGCAAGCGGAATACTGAAATAAGAGTAGCGTCGTAGTGCCTCTGTTGCTTCGGGTTAACTACAGTGCCAGCATTCGCTTACTTTTACAACTTTTCGAGTACTTTCCAACTTATCTCGGAGTTGTATGCGCCCTATTTTCGGCTAGTCAATAACTGATAGTGTCACGCTTCTTGGGTCTCTGTCGCAGTTGAACAGAGCTAGCACCCTGTTATAGACGTTAATATGGCTCTTTTTACCTAGCAGTTGTTATGGAAGAGCCGCCTTCTAGTTGGTTCTATATGTGGCTAGTAGTTGGCCTTCGCATAAAGGCAGCATCGCCATGTCTTCCTTCAGCTCGAAGTACTCTTTGGCCTCTTTCTCTTTGCCCATAGGAGATCCGTCCGAAGAAGCCTTCCCTTGCGCAGTGTTAGACAGTCTCGATCTCTCCTCATTCTTCTACTACTCGTAGTACTAGCTCTAGAACTGACGTAGTTCTCAAACAAGTATGAGTATGTACTGCCGATGTTGATGATTTAGTAGCTCTTCTCCATCTTCATGGATCACATTCATCCTCTTGCATTGGTTTTGATTCAATATATGACATAGATAGGGACGCACGGCGCCCCCCTCCCCCTGTGGATGGCCCTGCGGTGGCGATCGCGCGCTCTTTTCCGCGCTGCTTTTCGCGGATTCTCAGGGCGGAAGGCGTCAAAACTTGGCGCGGGCGTCCCTTTGCGCCTCTCAGCAGGTTCCCTGGCAGCCTCCTGGCCTCTGCTGACCCTCACAGGCGAGAGGCCTCCGGGGTAGACGAAGGCCGCCGAAGGCGGCCGCGCTCTCAAGAGACAGCAAGCCGATGACCAAGGGCCCGAAGGGCACAAGCAACACAGCCCAGGGGGCCCCGCCTTGCGCCTTTTGCCGCCTTCAGAGGCCTCCCACCGCCGGCGCACTGCTGCGGCGGCGAAGCACATACATAGGAGGTCTGCCGGGTACACGCAAGCAGCTGGAAGAGAGCGGAGGAAGCCCCCTCTTGAAACCGTCCACCCAAATCGAAAGCCTGAACGGCACACGCAGGAAGCTGGAAGGGAGCGAAGGAGGCTCCTTGGGTCGTTTTTGAAGCCTTCCACCCAAATCGAGAGCCTGAACGGTACACGCAGGCAGCTGGAAAGGAGCGGAGGAGGCTCCTTAGGCCCCTTTTGAAGCCTTCCACCCACCTCGGAGGCCTGTAGGGTACAGGCAGGCAGCTGGAAGGGAGCGGGGGAGGCCGCTTGGGCCCCTTTTGAAGCCTTCCACCCACCTCAGAGGCCTGTGCGTAGGGTACAGGCAAGCAGCTGGAAAGGAGCGGAGGGGCCCCCCCTGGATCCCTTTTGACGCCTTTCACCCCTGGCAGACGCCTCCAAAAGGGGTCCGGGGATCCACGCCCCCCCCCTACGCTACGGGGGGACCGCTCCCCTGAATCCTGCAGCATGTTTGTACTTATAAGCCTACCGATTAGTCTCAATTTCTGAAAAGCCTCCCTTATTTAAGGAGCCTCCTTGGGCAGGCTCCCCTGAGAAAACTGAAGCCCTTAAGGATTTTCTGCCTCTATTGGCGCGGATTCAGCTAAGAACCGCACGAAGACAGCCACCACTGTCACCCCGTGGCCCTGGAAGTGCTCCGCTGGGCGACTTCCATGACTTGCCTCCCGTTGGTTTTCCTGTCTTTTGGTTTCATTTCATGTGATTCCCCGCGCCCCTCCAGAGTCCACCGCACCAGCCTGCGGGGGTGTGCTCGGGGATGCTGGAGGGGCGTGGGGATTTGGAGGGCGCCTGAGGTTCTTGGCCCGCAACTGGGGGAAGGCTTTCCCGAAGGGAGCGCAGTCGGCGGCGAGTGTTCTGCGGATTCGTATCATGCCCGAGAAGATTGAACTTTGTCCGGGTTTTTGCAATCCTTCGCCGAATTTTCTCCATTCAGCCTCCACCTGTCTGGGGTCAGATTTTTCGCCAAAACCGGAGAGACTGGGCTCCACCTGTGGCCCAGTGGAGGGAGACCGCCTGCGGTTCTTCGTTCTTGGGCCTTTTGGTCTTGTTCAGTGTTGGACTTTTGGCCGCCCGGCGTCCCGAGGCTCTCGCGCTGAGTGGGATTAGTTACAAAGAAGAGAGACACGCCGCCGCCCCTAAGTGGTCAGGCCACGCACGCGCGCCGCCATGTGATGCGCGCGCAGATTGTCGGGAGGGTTTACTGGCGTCGTTCGCATTTTTTTGAAGTATTTCAGTGGCGAACTTTTCGAGGGTTTCGCTTGAATCGAGTGCGCCTCTCTCTTGTTTGCCAGATTTCTGCCCGCAAGACCGCTCTTGGTGAAAAAACTGAAAAGACGCCGGCCAACTTTTTTCAAGAGTGGCCCTGTGAGCAAGAACCCGGGAAACAAAAGAGAGGCTTGCGCAATTGCGTGGCGCTTTGAGGAAGAGCCAAGCTGGTGGCCGCTTCAGTTCCGAAGGCCTCGCGCCTCCTCTTTTTGCTCGGTTTCGATGGTGTAGCCTGCTCGCCGTGCCTCTGGTCCTTCCGCAGGGGGTTGATTCGAATGGCGCTAAGTCAACTAAGAACCGCACGAAAGCGGTCACTTCTGTCGCCTCCTAGTCCTGGAAGTGCTCCGCTTGGCGACTTTTGTCACCTGCTTCCCCTTCGTTTTTCCGTCTTCTGGTTTCCTTTCATGCGATTCCCCGCGCCCCTCCGGAGTCCACTGCACCAGCCTGCAAGCATGTGCCTGGGGATTCTGGAGGGGCGTGCGGATTTGGAGGGCGCCTGAGATTCTTGGCTCGCAATCGGGGGAAAGTTTTCCCGATGAGAGCGCAGTAGGCGGCGAGTGTCCTGCGGAGACATATCATGCCCGGCAGAATTGAACCCCGTCCGGAGTTTTGCAGTCCTTTGCTGAATTTTCTCCATTGTAAACAGTTATAGTCGCTTTTCTTTAAACGACGAAAAGAGATCTCAAAGGGCTCCCTTCAGGCGGCTCACTCTGTTATAAGCTTGGGCCAGTAGTTCTGGCGGAGTTAAAGAATTACTTTGGCACCTGGATAGTGTTCCCGTTTTAAAAAAATAAGTAGGTACTCAAAGTAGATAATTGGCGATGGAGTTTGGAGTTGCGGATGGGGCCTGCGGCAAGAAGTCCGGACCACCGTGGTCGGGCTCTGGCGCAGCGACTTCACTTCATGCTTAGGGCTTCGGGCGAGCCCGAAGATGAAGCAAGCCGTTGGCCCCACAGTCGCAAAGCGCAGCCTTTCTTCTCGCGGCAAAGGTGGCGCTTGGTCTGGCTGCCTTGAAAAGCGGGGGGGGCTCAATAGTTATAATTTTCTAAGAGAAAAGCACAAAAAAGGAGAATTTATGATTTTTGGAAACTAGTGGGGATAATAGAAAAAAATAGCAAACAGCTACTCTCAGAGGGGGAGCCCCCGGAAGGGGTGGCAAGGTGCAAGCGCGAAGCGAAAGCGTGAAAAATGAAGCACGCGAAGCCGTGGCCGCAGCCGGCTCATTTTGCTGCTGTGAAGCCGTTGGTCTTTTCTTTCTTCAGGCTTGCCCAAATCTTCAAGCCTCAGCCCGAAGCCCCAGACCCCGTTCTTCGCAGCCCAGCCTTCGAAGCGGGGACGTCAGTCGCCGCCTTAACTGATTAGACCAATTAGTTAGTTTAACTAGTTAGCTTTTTTTTCTTAAACAGAATTTTATCCAGATGCTAAAATAATTAATCATTTAACTCCGCCATAATAGTAAGACCTTCCTTAGGGGGCCTCCCTTAAGGGCCCTCCCCTCCCTTAAGGGCCCCCCGCCCTAGCTAACTTGCCGGCTTACCGCTTGCACGTACGTAGCTAGCCTGCTAGGTGCTTAGCCATAGCTAGCCTGCTAAGTGCTTACCTTAGCCAAAGCTAGCCTGCTAAAAAGTGCGCAGTCACAGCTAGTCTGCTAGCTGCTTGGCTATTGCTCTCTAGCCTGCTAGCAAGCTTACGCCCTGCCCGTGGCTAGCCTGCTAGGAGCTTCGCCAAACGTAGCGAGTCCGCTAGCTGCTTGCGCCCATAGTTCGGTAGCGGGTTAGCCATAGCCAGCCTGCTAGCTGCTCAGCAGGCATGCCCAGCCTGCTAGCTGCTCAGCAGGCATCGCCAGCTTGTTGAATGCTTTTCAAGCATGCCGAGCCTGTTAGCTGCTGCGCCGTAGCTATCGAGCTCACCACCCCGCTAGCTGCTCGCCCTTATCTAGCTGGCTGGCTAGGCAAGCTAGCTCCTTGCCCATAGCAAGCCTGCTAGCTGCCTGGCGAAATCTAGCTTAGCTGCTGCTTCGTCATCGCCAGCATTCTAACTTTGCCGCGTCCCGCGAGCCTGCTCGCTGGCTTGGCCATGGCCGCCGTGCTCTTGTCTGTCTAGGTAGTCTCGTTTCTGCCGATCTATGCCCAGCGCAGCGGGCCCCTGGTGGGCCCGCTTTCTGGGCATGTGTATACATATATAATGAGAAAAGAGGTATGAGACTGAGACCCTTGCTAGCTTGTTCTTCAGGAATTAATCTCCATCCCTGCGCCAAGAAGCAATACAATACAAAAAAACTCGTCGCGTTGTTGGAGTTTATCCTCTATAAGTAAACTGTAGAGCGTCTCCTGCCTTCGCCTCCACCTGACACTGAGACTGACTGGAAAGTAATAATATGTCTGGTCGGCGGGCCTATAGATACCTAAGTTGCGTCTTACATGAAGAAGGTGCTGCGTCAACTACTAGCCCTGTTCTTGAAGTATTTGCAACTGAAGTCTTGCAAGTCGCAAGGTACTTAGTCTAGCTTTGACCGGGGGATCTGGAACTTCGTTGATATAATATGAGATCTTGATCTTGAGTCTTCTATGATAAAGAGAACGAAGAAGACGTCTAGATTGTAGGTGTCGCGAGTCTACAATATCGTGGTAAGCGTGAGGTAAGTGCCTGAGAAAAGTGAGAGATAAAGAAGAGGAGAAGCTGCAGGTTTAGATAAAACGAGGCTCGTGATCATCATCATGACCACTATCCCAGCATGCTTATGCTCAATCGCATTGATTTATCTTCGTCGCTGCTTCCTGTGGTCATAAGGCGCTTGAACTTTCTGAAACCCAGTCGATAGAGCGTTCTCCAGAACAGAGGCGATGCGAAACACAAGAAATGAACGGCGGCCGTAAGTTCTACTAGGTACACAGCCGGCCAGGGTGTCTACTAGGTGGATAACATATCACGTCTTTTTTGAAAGTAACACTTTCAACATTGACAGAAAAGTGTAGGAAGCAATTCCCATACATTTCCACGATAAAATCAAAAATTTGTCCTCTGCAACATTTATTTTGATAGTTGTCGTTGTGTATAAATATTTACTCCTCTAGTTTATGTCTATTCTTCCTTCATTCTACTGGACAACTCTCGTTAGTATTTCTATGGGTACTTACATAGTAGCTCGACCTGTCTCGTCGACACATCAGCAACCATCTGGCTATCTCGTTCTCATAGTAGAGATCACTTAATACCAATTTTCTTCAGTGAGTGATCTCAGCATACCTTCACAAGAAAAACTATCTCTATTTACTTTTTGTCGCACTTAGTTCTTCTTTTTAGCTTGAGGAATATGAGATGAAGGGCAAGGGAGGTGTATAAATGTCCTAAGTATGACATGGGTGGAAGAGTTGGCTTCTTCTGAGGAGTATGAAATGTCGTAAGAAGTTAGGTTAGGTTAGGTGTGGGTCGGCTAGAAAAACTAACAGACATGGCTGACTAGGACTACTGAAGAGCCAAAAGCAACTTTGTCTGTCATGCGTGTCATAATGCAGCTTGTCTTTCGCTGCTCCAAGGCCCTTGATATATAAGATGTGAGCAGTGTCTTTCCGGTCAGTATCGTACGTTAGAGCCTTCCGCCATGTCGTGTTGCCTCTGTTCCTGAACTTCTTTTTTTGTCCTACTGTCTACATGCCTGGGGCATTCAAATAATGGACTGCCAGAGGGTTCATGGCATTTGAGTAATGGACTGCCAGAGGATTGTTGTCCTACTGGAGGACTCAACTACTCTACTGCTGGACTGTCAGGACGTCAAGTACTGAAATCCAAATCAGCAAGTAGCTTCTTAGACTCACCCGAGGCACTGACAGGGAAGCAACCGGCTGTGGGCTTCCCTCACGAGTGTGCGATCTGTCTGCTCGTACAACTTGTGTGTGTGATTCCTCAAGAGTATAAAACACACACAGGAGTGCACGTACGCCACTGCCCCCTACTTTTTGAAGATGCGTGTGGCCTTAACTTGTTGAGCGGCATTGCCTTGCGCCGAGCGTTATGCATGTCCGCATTTCATTAGAATGAAGAAAACAAAAAAAAGAAAAGCTGTGCAACGAGAAAAGCCCTGCGCCAAAAGAGTGCCTAGCACCCCTGACCTATTTACCATGCCTCCAAAAAGATTCGCACTTGCAGCAGCCCCAAGCGAGCAGCTGCACAAGTGCACGCGCCAAGTATTAAGAGATATGCCTGGGGCTTTTCAAAGTCTAAATTTCTCGAAGGCGTGGAATTGTAGAGAAGACCGGTAACAGAGTCTATTGCCGCTACAGCTAACGCACCCTCTTGTGCTTTCTATATTAATCAACTCAGACACATAGCAACAAGAGGCGTACACATTGTTACACGTACACATGCTTAGACACAAACTAGCTCTTACGCATGGAATCAGAATTCGCGCGCAGTTGCTTTTTCATAGCATCTCTTCCCCTCTACGGAGCCCCATGGCAGATTTGCGCACAAGTATCCACCCATGTGTCTCCATGTCCTACCGCCATCGGGAACCTTTTTCCTCTTATTAGAATTGATTGATTGACTGACTGAGTGACTGGCTGGTTGATTGAGGTGCCTATTCGTGAGGGAAAGGAGCTACGTGCGAGGGGAGACGGGGTTAAAGCTCGCGCGTCCACTGGTTCACTTTTTCATGTTTGCATTTCTCATCGGCGACCCCCGCTGTCTATCGTATCAGATGCGCACAAGATAAGCGAACTCTTTCAATTGAAAAGTCTAACAATGCTGTAGACCGAAAACGATACTTATTTCTAAGTCAGCACGCGGTCGGACAGCATGCTTGTCTCCCTTTCTCTTTCTCGTACTAGTTAAAACTCATGCTCAAGCTCAGAATTCTCATAAGTAGACTTGTTGCGTCCTGCTCCTGCTCCGACAGCTTTCATTAGAGTGATTGGATTCATCTTGAGAGCCGTGGCCTCTTTAGTAAGAATTACGATAGTCACTAACAATAATTATGGTCAATTTTATTCATATTCTGCGCGACGTCGTCGATGGTTTCCCTTGAAAGCCCTCGTCTTGCATCGTAGGCATATTGGGCTACTACAAGAGCCAGACACTGTAAATTGTAAAAGCATAGATAAACGACCTACTAGATGCCTTAATCTTGAGTCAGGCATAGTGACTCTGACTGCAGGCATAGTATTAAAAAAGGAGTACTCAATTACATACTAGATCTAGATGCACTATGTGCCTCAAATTTTGTCTTCTGCAAGAGCTGGCCACTTTTCGTCTTCGCTTTTCCCGTAGATCACCTGTTGCAAAGCCGCGTCCACGAGCAGCTTTTTTTTTCCATCACCTCCAGCTTCTTCTACTGCTTTTTCCTTGTCGAGGAGATCTGGATGCAAGAACCATCTTTAGAGATGGAGCCTACTGTGCTTCTAGTTGTATTCTGATTCCCTACAAGTAAGTACTTGAGAACGACGGGCCACGCTTGACTTTTGACGCAGTTCATGCCTCGTTCTGCAAATTCATTCCATGCATCACGCCGCTGTCGCTCGCGCCATTCCTCGGCCTAGTAGTTAATGTCCGTAATCTAGTAGCATGAGGAAAATGTAAATGGGTGATGAAATAAGACGAAGGGGACACAAGTATCTACATTATAAGCAATCTCCCTAAAATCCTTAGGAGCCTTCCTCAAGGGGCTCCCTTGAAGAAATGGCATCCCTTCAGGAAGCTCTATGATAAAAAGTCACTATCAGTCTTCCTTAAAGGCCAAAAATGTGCCTTAGGGCCCCTTAAGGGAGCCTCCCTTGCAATAGTTTCCGATTTAGGCTAGTCATAGGCACCTTCCTGAAGGCCGCGCGACCTCTTAAGCCGAATCATTCAAGGACTTCAAGAACCTAGCGCATCGGGGTCAGCCACCGCCAGCCTGCTACCTTAGCTATGCATAGCGTAGCCAGCTTGCCTTGCTAGCTCAGCCGTAGCCAGCTTGCTGCGCTACCTTAGCCATAGCCCCCTTGCCTTAGCCGTAGCCGGCTTGCCCTGCTCTGCTGTGCATCGCTTAGCCCTGGCCAGCTTGCCTTGCTACATTAGCCACCGCGATGCGATAGCCAGCTTTCCTCGCTAGCTTCGCCCTGGCCGGCTTGCTTGCTTAACCATGGCCAAGCGGCTAGCTTAGCCACCGCCACCCTGCTAGCTTAATGCCCGTGGCCAGATTGCAAGCTCACGCGTAGTCATCGCCAGCTCGCTGGCTTGGCCATCAGCCTCATGAGCTTCCTTGCTGGCTTTGCCGTCGTCAGTCTGCTAGCTTAGCCCCAGCTGCAGCGCTTTGCGAGCTTAGCAACAGCCAGCGCGCTACCTTGACCAAAGCAGTAGCCAGCTTACTAGCCTAGCCACAGTGGCAGCCAGCTTGCCAGCCTTTCTGCCTCGCCCTGGCGAGCGGGCTTAGCGGCTTGGCCCGATCGTCTTACCCAGCAAGCTGCCAGCGCTAAGCTATGGGCGTGGTTAAATACGACTCAAGGCCAGACGCCCCCCCCGCTCCCCCCCCTGTGGTCTGGCTCTGGTCTGTGGTGGCGCGCGCGCGCGCTTTTGCGCGCGGATTTTTCGCGGATTCTAGTGGTGGAAGGCGTCAAAACTTGGCGCGGGCCTCCCCTTGGGCCTCTCAGCGTATCCCTGAGGAGCCTCCTGGCCTCTGCTGACCCTCGCAGGCGGGAGGCCTCCGGGGTAAAAGGCCGCCGAAGGCGGCCACGGTCGCAAGAGCAGGCAAGCCGATGACCAAGGGCCCGGAAGGTACAGGCGGCACGGCTGCGGCAGGGAAGCCAAACGAATGCACTTAGGGCACAAAGAAACACCTGGACGGGGGCGCAGGCGGTCCCCTGGGCCCCTTTTGAAGCCTCCCACCACCATCGGAGGCCCCTAGGGAACAGCCAGGCAGCTGGAAGGGAGCGGAGGGGGGAGGTCACCGGGCCCCCTTTTGAGGCCTTCCCTCCCGGCAGACGCCTAAAAAGGGGTCCAGGGCGCCCGGTAGCGGGGGGGGGTCGCCCCGCGCCCTGAAACAAAGATAAAAACCATCGCGGTGACCCCTGAAGAAGAAGAAGAGGGATTCTACGTGTACGCATCGAGGGGTTACTACAGTGTTGGTGGGATGTTGCTTCTGAGTGCATTGTAAGAGTTGGCTCTGACTTCTAGTTTGATTTTCGCCCGACATCGACAAGTGTAGCTTATGCTTAACTGCAAATACGTGCGCGAGTCCCTGTTGTCAACTTTCCTGATGACCGTAGACGAGATAAGCGCAGACACGCGCTAACCTTTTAATATCTGTGGCCTTAACAATTGTCTTCCGTGGCAAAGGCAAAGATCGGGAAGTTATTCTTATGATATCCCGGCTTCCTTTCGTCGAAGGCCGTCGTCACTTCCTCTGCTTAGAGCAGAGTTTGCGTTCAGGTCGTATAGCTGTAACGATATTCGTCTAGTGGTGCACAGAGACCCTGCATCGACATCGAGCGCGGGATACATAATATATTTATAATAAGTTAGCCATACGCATCGATATACCACGACCTGTGTTGAAAAACACACAGAAGAGCAGAAAAGTAATAAGAAAGCCTTTCATTTTAATTTTCTGTGAGCATCTGTATTGGTATAATGAGCAACTCTATTCAGGAAAAGATAACCGACCAAGACCTTTAAGGCATGGAGTGAGTGTTCGCATGTGTCCTGATGCCGTCTTTCGGGAGGAGCCTCAATTAGCTACTTACTCCACTCCTATCCAATCGATCACTTCCTAGAAGTGGGTTATAAAGGGGAACGGAGAAGATGTGATGAATCTATTGAGCGCAACCCTTTATGGTGCTTCTATCGTTCATGTCCACGGCGAGAGACTGAGCAGGAGCTACCCTTGATAGATTTCCCAACAAACTGCAATAAGCAAGTAACTCACTGGAATAAGCGAGATACTGAAAGAAGGCAGAGTTGTAGCCGATGAAGCCTTATAAAGATACGCCCCTTGGTATTTCAGTCAGTAGCTCAGTTCTTTAATTCCACGTTCCGAATTATATTTCTTCATTATACTGGCCTTAGTTGATCATTTCGGCTTGCACCTCCAGGAGATGATCCAGCGTGCGACCCAGTTTTGACAGGTAGTCACTCACGACGACGTCTCCATTCACGTAGACCTGCGCACCACCAGACCTGATTAGAAGAGAGCACATATTCCAACTTTATTGATAGTAGATTATAATTGTCATCGTGAAGTATTTGTATCAAGATTAAGGCACCCTTTGCATCTAGAACAAGCAGAGTGTCTTTCAATAGTTGCATCCTGCTTTCTCGTCTTTCAATGTTGACGCATCTTGAAGAAGTAGTAGACTATATCTGACTTTGACGCCGTGGCGGCTTCCCCCGAGTAGCATAGCATAGGACAGGATGGGATAGGTTAGGATGCGAGGGAATCCGTCTCATACGACAGTAGGTCGACGACTCATGGGAGAGGCCTGTCTCATTTGTTTCAGTTTGACGCGTTTTGCCGTGCAACTATTGCGGAAAGCCATGCTATATGTAATGTACTTCTACGGTAGTGTAGTCATTACGTTAAGCGTGAGTGTCTCCAGAAGCGAAGGAAGGCGAAGATGGTGGAGAGAGCCGTTTACTATTATTACGCCTTAACAATACTGCGTATAAAGCCTTTTTCTCCTTCTCGTATCGCACATATTAGAGAGGAAAGGAAGACGAGCTCCTGTAGAGCATAGGAAGGTCGTAAGTATGTAAGGACACTCGCCAAGAGCAAGAATATGACGACGAAGTCCACCGCTTAACAAGAAGTAGCAGTTCGAACGTGTTTAATTTTAGCAAGTAGGTGCCAAACTGGAACTCCGGATAGGGCGTGTCGAATTGTAGCAAACAAGTGCCGCGTTACGACAGTCCCCATCTCAAAAAGATACAGTGTGGAAGTGAGACCCTTCGGGGCCTCATGGTCAGATCTTCTGGGCCTCATGGTGGTTCTTATTCTTTGAGAAAGATCCTGGCGGCCCTTGTGGCTCATGGAAATGACTACATTCCAGCAAGCATTTCGCTCTTTTCGGCTTCCCTACAGGGTGTCGCGATTCGTCAGAATAAATATAAAACCAACCGCAACACTCCACCCTTTCGGCTTTGGGTGCCTGACTGTGTTCATATGCCGAACTTTAGCTAGTAAGTGTCAAACTTTAACTCGAACGCGCTTAATTTCAACGAGTAAGCGTCGAGCTATCGCTATTGAGTGGAAAGCTTTGACTCAAACGCGCTTGATTTTAGCGAGTAGCCGTCGAGCTTTATCTAGTATGTAAGTGTCGAACTTTAACAAAACCGAGCTTGATTTTAACTAGGAAGCGTCGAAATTTGGCTAGAACAACGTGTCTAATTCTAGCTCGAACGCCATTGATTCTAGAAAGTTCGTGCCAGGCTTTAGCCCGTATGTGTTGAATTCTAACTAGAACACGCTTGGTTCTAACTAGTAAGCGTCGAATTTTTCAACTAGAAAGTTTTTGACTTTAGCTAGAATATTTTGAATTTTAACTAGTGAGCATCGAACTTCAACTAGAAAGCGTTTGATTTCAACTACAATATGTTTCGCTTTATTAACTTGAATGCGTTCCATCTTCAATCTTGCCTTCCTAAGACGTGCCTAACCTTCACTAGAAATGTGAAAAACATAAGAGAGGCAAAAACTCAAAGGCAAAGACGCGGAGTCAAGCATGTGTCGGCAAGGACGTGTGGGCAAGGAAATGCGGGCAAGGAGGTGTGGGCAAGGATCGATATGGAGCCAAAGAGAGGGAGGCAAGGATGCGGGGGCAAGGAGGTGGGGGCAGGAAGGTGGGGGCAAGGAGGTGGAGGCAAGGGAGGCGAACGAAGGCACGCAAAGACGTGGGGACAGCGAGGTGGAACAAAACGGGCAACAGCCAAGGCAAACGCGAGGGGCTAGAGCATGGCAAAGAAGGCCCAAGGCCTTCGCGATATCTAGCCACTACCTATATTGTGAGAGGAAACCCGGGGCGCGCGTTGCTTGTGTCTTGCCGAAAATTCAACGAGAACGACACACCTTCACCTGCGCGGAAGCGACGCCAACAGGTAGCACTTCTGCTACTAGAGAGTAAGTACTGAGCTTCATCCCCTCGTAAGCTTCATCCTGTGACAAGAGCCCTCGTGCTTGCATCATGAACAGGCTATTTCCTGTCGAATAAACGAGCCCGACATTCGCATCGATTGCAGCTTTTTAGAAAAGGAAAATACCGAGGACAGGTGGTCGATGATTGATTGGCCCACACTGATGTAGCTAAGAGTGAGCGACTGAGTGGATCAATTTGCCTAGCAGGAGATGGCGCAGCGTCATGTAACAAAACAAATGTTATTGTTAATTGAGAGCACACTTTTTCGTCTTGGTAAGGCTAGATGTAGATCTAGAAGATCCTCATGCTTCCACCCTAATGGAGCAAGATCAACTAATCACTTTCAAGTGAATGATTAGGGTACTCTACTAAGCCTCACGGACTCCGACCCTCGTCCTCTGGCTCTCTCTCGACTATGATGGTCCGGATCTACGGCAGCTTGCCTGAGACTTCCCTGACGGTTTCGGCTCTATAGTTCAGTGGTCTAATCATGCAGCAATGTCGGGAACGCGATAATCTAGTCTAATGTCGGGACCACGCCTGCTCTAAAAATCTAGTGCATCAGCTTCCTCGCATAATCTTGCTTTGCCTCGCTCATGGCCTCGACCCAGTGGAGCCTTTGTGCCGGCAGTAGTGTCGGAAATGGCGCTGCTGTGCCATCCACATCCAAGTAAACCATAGGTTGCATGGAAGAGTCCCCTTCTTCTTAGAGTGGAGAGCGAAGCTCGTTGAAGGATACAGAGGATAGGAACTGATTCGCCGTCCAGAGTGTGACCTGCAGCATCGAGCGAACATGTGCAGCCGCAGAAGGACTACCAACTGATATCTATCTTTCAGCTCCCATTTCCTCTGATCCTATCGCGCCCCCTCTACTCCCTTCTATTGGACCGCCTGACCGATTTTATGAGCTAGCTTCTTGTTTAGTATAAAGTATTTACGTAGATGAACAAAGAGAATGCTAGACCTTGACTTAGACCAGAGCTCCTTGACTTACACCAAACCTAGGTAACGATCTTGCAAAGGAATCTTTAAAGCTGAGTTTTCTTGTGCCTGCTCATCCTCTTCCTGTTGAGACCCTCACTGTATCCTCAAAGTGTTAAAGATGTTGCTTTGCCAGACCTAAATAAAGAAAAAAGAGGCAAGTAGTCACCCTATGCCTATTCTGGTTCATGTCATGCTTCAGACCTGCACCATCTTCATCATGGTCCGTTAGTATTTTTACATCACTAAATGCTCGTTATAATACGGGTGGAGCCAAGCTAACTAGGAAAAAGATAAGGTTAGGTAAATGGTATACAATTACAGAATTATAGTATTGGCCAAACTAAGTAGGATCCGTCTATTCTAGGCGCCGCGTGTCGTCCAACAGCCCTGGATATTCGCTAGACTGAAGTAAGCAAGTACGTGCGTAAATTAAGCGAGATACAACTGAACAATCTGAAAGAAAAACAACTAGAGGACTTTCTGTCAAGTGTTCTTTACTACAGCTGCATACTCATTAAAAATTAGAATTTATTAACCCCCCACGTCCACCGTAATGGTATTGCTTCGACCAGTCATCGTGCCAGACCCACTTGTTACTGCGCCTCAAGTAATCCAATCTACTTTCCAAAAACCCACGGTCCTCCCGCATTGCTCTAACAAGTTAGATCCATCTAGGAACAAGCAAGAAATTCTGGAGCTTACTACTTTCACATCTTTTGTTTTTTCGTGCAAATGTACCAAACGCCTATTGTTCTTATGTTGGGTTTCGAACAAGAGCGCCTAATCCTAGATGCTGAATGTACTCTACTATTGATGGCGCTTTTAAAGCTAGTAAAAAACTACTTCTAGGTCCGCGGCATCATATCAGTTTCTGCTACAACTAGCACTAGCAGATGACGGCGTCATACATCTTCCAGTACTATTTACTACAGTGGACGAAAGAACCGCTCAACTACGAGTTGTATGCAGCCTCAAGGACGATGAGGAGGATGATCCTCTTCCTTGTTTTCCTTTTGCAGATGGCATCCGAAGATTCCTCTTGCAGTAGATGATTACAATTTACTTTTTGAAATATCGATAGCTAAAGCTATAATTTAAGAAGAAACGCTAATGCTTCAGCTTCTAATAAGTACGACACGATCGACATATACGAGGATAGCTAGAAACTAGTAGTCGTCGCCCTAAAGACAGTGTTGCGCTTGGCATTGATCATGTGAGTCTTTCCCATTCGCGGCGCATGGTGCAAATTGAACTGGAGTGGCAGATCCCATCTGGGCATAAATTAACGCTAGTTTCTTTTCACTAGTTGTTATGTGGGATACTTCCACAGGAGGACGATAGGGTTTGGGTATGCCTCACGCAGAAAATGTATGGATTGGGACTAATATTTTACTACTTCACACAGAAATAAACGTAAAGAGGCGCTAGGTATCACACAGAAGTAGAATATGTAAAGAAAAAAGAAACTTTTTCCTGTTCTCTGGAGTAGATTGAGTCGTGGCATGTTGCCGTGTAAGTGTCTGAGGTGTCCAGCTAAGAACTTAGAAGTTTCTTTCAAAATAAGTTAAGAACAAGATGACTTTAACAGGTAAAGTAACTTAAACTTAGTTTAAGCAATCAGCTAGGCTTAAATAAATCTCAGCCAAGTACTGATCTCCCTCAGCATCGTCACCAAAGGCTTCTCCTTGGGTCATTTGCATCGTCTTAGATGTAGTAGAGCCTCAAGAAGTACTTTGTCTTCTCAAACTCAATGTATCTTCACGGAAACGGATGACAAAATCAAAATAAGTCCTAGTAGGTACTACGTACTACTAGAAGTTGTACTTCGTTTCTTATTCTTACTTTCATTTTCTCACTGTGTCCTGAGAAGGAAAAGACGCGAAGCAACACCTTGTAGAAATGACATTTTGATTTTCATCCAAAGAGTTTTTCAATTATCATCCAAAGTAGAGTGTAAGAGAAAGAAGCTAACTCAATATCTAGTACACGTTCTTGCGTTGTTGAGCCTCAATCATCGACTGCGAGGATGACCGGTTGGTTCGTGCAGGTAGCGCGACCGCAAGCCCGTCCGCCTTCACTTCGACATCCATCGTATAAGCATTAGCCATCTTCTCAACCGGTCAGGCTTAGACGTCGTGGCTGGCCTATGCTTGTTGCAAAAGTCATGTATTATATTTAAGAAATATTGACTCTGACTGAAGTGCCACACTATGGGAGATTTTTGAGTGACGATGTGGATGTGCCAGACTGATCATTCATCGAGGAGTCTAGGTAATTATTTTGAGTCTCACAACTGTCACACGGCTGAAGCAATGCCGTAGCTCTGAGCGTCCTGCGTCTCGTCATCCTGTATCTTGTCCATCCGCTTCTCCTGTGGAGCTACAGGTAGTGTTTTGTCCTTCTCCTGTGGAGCGAAAGCCTTACCCTCTGGCCTTTCTACGAACTTCCAAGGGTCGTGCTGTAGGATGCCAGAAACGCCAGAGGATGCGTTAGTCGACTGATCCCTTCCCCTGGAAAATAGCGGCGCAGTCAAAGTCGTAAAAGTAATTAGAGTGAACAACTCGAGAATTCAGTGTCATAGATGTAATTGGAACGGATAACTCGAAGATAATTTTCACTGAGTCCTACTTTCGACTATAATCGTACACGTACATGTAAATAAACTAGTACTCTTCTAAAACTAAAAGAAGATACTTAGTTCTTCTACAACCTTCTGTTATGGGTTCTTGGAGGAGACCTTCTAGTGCTCAATAATAATTTATCTACAAGTAGTACCTCCTAAAAGCATAATCATCTTCACCACCTCCTTCTAGTAATAGGGAACAAGATACGAAGACGAAGGAGAGTAATACTCTTTCATAAATCGCCTCCGGTCCACACGAAAGCGAAGAGAACGAGTGTGACCATGCCGCACAGGATCAGGAGTAGACCGCAAAAAGACGTCGATAATCGAGTACCCAATGTGGTGGTTGTTCTATTTCTTGTAGGGTTTTGGTAGATGCTTAGAGGTAGCCTCTAAATATATTCCATAAACTGAGACAAGCGAGCAGTAAATACTGAAAATGTGGGGATGCTGAAGTAAGAGGAATGTAGCCAAGACTCTCTTACTTCACTCAGTAACTCGCTTGCTTTCACTTTTCGAATAGGATAGTGTGCCTCGACCACGCCCTCACAGCGAGCTTCATGTTCATACAATGAGCAACAGTTTGGGTTTGCTTTTGCAGTATTCATAGTGAATTATAGTGGAGCTGCTCCTGAGAGCTGGTGGAGCCAAGCTAGTAGACTCATTGTAAAAAGAAACGCTCAAGAGGTTATTTTTAGGTGGAATACAACCAGAGAAGCGTCGTCGTGTTAATACAAGCATCTTGTAGATGATCTAGATCTTGGTTTTTTTCAATGAAATGTAAATCGTAACGACTTTTCTTTCCTGCTACCACTACCAACCAAAGCCTCCTCTTCATCTCCTTCCTCTCCGTAGTCTGACAAACGCTGCTGTAATGAAAGTGGAAGGAACAACTTAGTAGGGTGGCGTGATGGTTGTACTAGCACGAAAAATCCTTGAAATAGTCCTTTGAGCAGGAAAGTAGGATGACGACATCGACGAGTGTCGACATCATGGACGGCGATGGCAAATGCTTTCATATTGCACAGACCTCAAAACTAACCAAGACATCTTCCACAACCTAGAAGACCTACTTACCCAGACCATTTCAGTTTCTTCTTAAGGAGCCTCCTCCTCCATTTTGTCGTCTATTGGTGAAAGGTGGTGGCTGCCAAGACGAAGTGACACCTTCTGGTATAATTTTTCCACTTTCGTATATTAGACGAGTGCTACTTCTTCACGTTCCCTGCTTCTTGAAGAACTGGTGACGATTTTCAGTCTCGACCTATTTGCCATTTCTCTAGGAGAATTAATTTTTTTTGACGGGTTCGGCCCGGGTTTCTCGGGTTGCTCGAGTTACTCGAATTGCGCACGCAAATTATTTCGCTGCGGCCTGCGAGCGCAGCCTCCACGAGACGTCAAAGGAGAAAACAAGAGACCTGCGGGCCGGCAAGAGGGGCGTCCGCTAGCGGAAGACTGCAAAGGGGGGCAGTCGAATGTTCGCAAAGGGTCCAACCGTGGGGCCCGGGGGGGTGCGGCAACAGCCCACCCGGTTGCCCACCAACATGAAACCGCACCTATTGCTACCTGCCCACACATCAGCCCCCGCCGCATTGTCCCCCATGTCACAGCGGCACCCTTCGGCCGCAAGCAGGCTCCAAACCCCCCCTGTGTGAACCCCTCACACAGCAACGCAGCGGGACGAAAACCAGAACCCAGCTTGAGACTCCCCAACCAAACCACAGGGGGGGCGGGGCACCTGCTCCCCGCCACCTAGTGGGGAGCGGCGCGCCGCTGTCGATCCCAAACGGGACGGGGCAACGCCTCCCCGGCCTTCTTTTGCGGGGGAGGTCGCCAAGACGGCGCTCCGCATGCGGAGCGAGCTCTTTTTCCCCCGCGCCGCCCTGCTCCGCCCCATTTGGGTGCGCCGGGCTCCTTGTGGCAACTCGTTCCAGAGTTGGGGCCCTTCGCTTCAGCAACTCGAGCAACTCGCTACAACTCGAAGCTCTCTATTTACCTTACTCGACGGTATACAATTCACAATGTCTCTAGGAGCTATTTCAGACGCGTTGTCTAGGTTTGATTCTGAGTAAAAGTCAATATTGTTCATCAACATTACCGGACAACTAGAAGGCAAGTGCTAGTGGGTGAATAATAGATTGATCTAAAGATGAGTATCAAGAATATGCATTGCAGCAGACTACTCCCGAGTACTACTCATGAGCTTCAAGTTCTAAAGAAGTCCAGGAACTCCACCAATCGATCCCCGAACTCTGCTCCATTTTCGGCGGCTTCAGTCTCTTCTTCTCGAAGTTAGCGCTAGTCTTTAAGGAGCCAAAGGGGCTTGGGACTCCATTACTAACTAGGAGCATACTCCTAAGTGGGTCCACATACAACTCCACGCACATGGGTCCTGGGATCATGGGATGAGACCAGCACGCATGATGGGTCATCGTCATCATGCTGGGATAGTGAAAATATTGAAACTTAACTACGGCCTTAACTAGGTATTTTCTGCGCTTTCTGATCCTTGGTGGTCTCTCTATGCGATTCCCCTGTGCGTCGCGGTATCCAGAGAATGGTGGAAGTTGCTCCAGTGGCACAGCTTCAGATGATAATGAACAACTGAACTCAACTATGATGAAGGTGATACTTATGTACTAAATGAAAGGCTAGGGTCGGAAAGCAGTTGTATTATAGACCAGCAGACACCCACTATTTCTATTTACTTCTATGTATTTACAGTGAGCAAGAGGAGTCCTCCTCTTTCTATTTACATCAAGAGCAGTAGTCCCTGATCTTGGTCTTTGATGAGAGATAATCTTGTTTCTTCAGTCTTCACCTTCTATAAGTATAATTTCCAGAACAAGCGCCAGTCAGTGCCATACACTTACACAGTCGGTGGGAGATAAAAGACGCTTCAGCTTTTGAGGTATATTTCTTTCTTTTGATTAGAAGTGTGGAGGTGATAGAGCAAAGAGAGAAGATACTTCTGACAGAAGATACTCAAGTAGGGAGGGTATACTTGACAGTTGACACTCATCTAAAATATAAGTCTGTACCTATGCCGCGGCATAGTATGTTTATGCTACAAGTCGTCTTTATCTAAATTGTTCTCTCGCTATAATTTTTCGACCGTAAACGTCGTTGTTGGAGGCCTCCACTACCACTGCCGTAGTATAACCGTTCTTGCCCGTAGCTAATAGACCGTTGGAGGTGTTGACCTTTAGCTTTACTGAGACCTGATGTATTTCTTCACTGGGAAATAGAAGACGTGATACTTTCGTCTAGTAGGAGGTCGTAGTCATGCTGTCCTGCGCCAGCATGGATGTATGCTTTCCAGAAGCAGCCAGTAGATGAAGCTTTCGTCCAGCGCTTATTTCTGCATTTTACATCATCTTCTCAACCGTCACAGATTCACCTTCACGTCACCCTTTCTAACGTGTAAATTAATAAGTCACCTGTAAAAAACTAGAAAAAAATTGCCTGTAAAAAAGTATCCTGTCATCTTAAAGATTTTTTCCGTTGTGATATGAGTAAAAGTACATTTCTTTGAGCAGAAGTATGAGTATGACTATGCTGTCAACACTTTCGCCAGTGTGTGGCTCTTTACTTAGCGAGTCGTTGGGTCGATATTCCTCAGCCGCGCCTTGTTTTGGTAGGAAGCTTACTTCGTGGTCCTGCTTTAATAGATTCAGATTCACTGACTGGTGTACCTCTTGAGGGAAATATCAAGGGGCGGACGGTAAAGGAAAAGTATAATTGCAATCGCATTCCTCGCAATACCCGTGCCCAAAGACGATTTCTTTTTCCCGTGTTCTTCTACTAAGAGAGAAGCGTTTTGAACTAAGTACCCTTTGCTACTTTGTCCCCTTAGTTGTTGCCGTGGCTAAGTGCCCATACTCAAAGTCGCTCACTCGTTTCCGCTTCAGTCTCACTGTCCTCTTCACCATCACACTCATCGCCGTGACTAGAGTCCCAGACCCAGACCAGTTAGTCGAAACTCTGAACACAGCAAGAACAAGAGAACAAGCCAGATACTAGCGATAACTTGACACAGCCAACAAGCATGATACATATCTATGATGAACTTCTATCTAATATGTATTAGAGCGAGAGCGTCCTCACTTTCTGCATCAGAGCGTCCTCACGCTCACCTTCTATACATGGACATACATATTCTAGGCATCATGATCTTGATCATAATTCAAAGGTATATACAATCTATCATCTCCTTCATGGAGTTGAGTTATTGGAGTTGAGGTATGTTGTGGAGAAACCTTTGCAAAATGCTGAAAGTGAAATGAATCGTGAAATTCATGAATGATAATCTTCTTCTTGCAACTATTTGCCATTGTCGTTCTCGAATAGGCGCTGAATCGTCGCTAGATCTTCCATGGTGGAGTATCGTCTTCTATTGAGTAAAAATCGCTAAAATCAGTAACAAAATAGGAGGAGGAAACAGAAACAATAACGAGCATAATAACAAGGCTCGACCTGGTGGTCTGGTCGTCTGTCCCTGTTCTCTGTAATCACTGACTCAGGAGACTAAAAAACATAAACACTACAGCGCTCATAGATATAATTCGGAATAATAGACTATGCGAAGTTCTGCTCAACACGTTAAACATAAATCTAAACCACTAGAAGTGATTTTCACCTCTCGAATCGATGATAGGACTCTCAAGAGGCAGTTTACAACCTCTCGAGTAGGTAGGCATCACTCGAAATGCGACTCCACAAAAAGCTGCAGTCTTCCCAACGACTTCATGTTTCGGACTTCCACAGAGCATTTCTGCTTCTCTTTCATCTGTATCAGTTCCGCCATGGGTTAGAGCACAAGGATATCAGTGCACACGGCATAGTATCACACATTGCCCTCCTTGTCGAGATAGAGAGAACAATGCTACCAGACATTCTTATTATCATTATTATATTCGCGCGCGACCTTACCGCCAGACATAGTGCTAATATCTATCACAACATATTCACCACACTTACCTTAGTACTCCTAGTCGTTGATGTAATACTCCGGTGTGTACTAGAAGCAGAAAGTCATAGCCTACTGCTGGGGTGAAAAAGAAAAATCTACTGCAAGCAACTACTTTGACTCTGTTTTTATCAAAATCAAGGTAAGAAAGTAACGACCAATCTAGATCTACCAAAATTGAAGTTGTTCCATAAATAATTGCTGCGAAAGGGCCTTTACCGACTTCGCGGCCGTTGAGAAGCACTAGCTTCCATCCTGGCGCGACGTGATTCTGCGCCGCTGATCCATTTGGCGCGACTGCGCTCAGCGTCATGTCTGTTTTAGATAATTATCGTGAGAACAAATAGATCGTCCAAGACCAACTACTCATGATAATTGCACAATTCTCCAAGACCAACTACTAGTAGTACGTAGTAGTGCGTCTCCGTCTCGTAGAAGTGAAGAATATACTCAATTTGAATTTGCTTCGTTGTATTTCGACTACATCAACTCTCCACGAAGTGTAACGAGTTCTTAATACGCAATAGTCGCAATCTACAATGCTCGTCCACAAGCCCTAACATTATTAATAAATAACGTCAAGTCCTGCAACAACTTGTCTCTGGTCTTGTACTGCATCGTTTTTTCCAGGTAGAGCATGACGCCGTTCAGAGCCCCATGTATTTCGTAAAAGCGGTCTGTTGTCGTGTCTCGAGACCTCCAAAGCGGTCTCTTGGGTAAGAACATAGGACGTTCCTCGAGAACGTTTAATTATAGTCTGTAAATGCGTTGTATTCCTCTGATGTTGTGTACAACCACCTGTAGAGTCATGACTTCAATCAGTACTACAACCCATATGCATAACTTTAAATCTGTACTACTACTTCCCGTAGTACGGGAATCGACTTGCAGCTTCTCCTGTACTAGTTGCCTCCAGTAGAGCCATTGAGGACTAAAGAACTGTGGATCATCACAAGCTAGGACTGACGGATAGCGGAATCTTCCGGTGGTGTTGTTTGTATCTATTTGTTCACATTAGAGATTGCGATTGGGTTGAGGAAAATCGACATGGTGGCCGTCGGTGGCCGTCGAGAGTGTTCACGAGTGACTTAAAAGACTGTCCACGATGTTTCAGTACGAAGAAGAAGATTTAGTGTATTGATGTTCCCTCGTATCACAAAGAAGTGCGTCGCTTTAAAAGACACCAAGAGCCCGTAAATCTAGTACTTGGGAAGCTCCGACCTCATGCTCAACATCGCGGAGACCGGCAATCAGCAAGATGACTGGAGGAAGAAGACGGAACAGCAGGTATAGGACACCAGCTCCACGTCGTCCACGAGCAGGAGTACAAAAAAATTAGCGCCTGAACGTAATGCTATTTCGTACCTGTTTTCATAGGAATTACGCATCGGTATCTACCAGTTAGGTGGATGAAAGTCATGATAATCACGTAGAAGTAGGGTTCTTGGTGCTTTTTCAAGAGCAAGACCTGGATGATGACTGTCTTACCCAAGAGCCTTACCCAGACCAGTATCTTTTTCACTAGCTAGTTAGCTAGCCACTTCAGCAGTTTTCACTTTCTGAGGATGAGTACATTTTTACGTGTGATATTCTAACGTGGTCGCTAGAAAAATAGAGATGTGGTGGTGTGCGCACTCAATCGTGTGGTTGCTTAACTTTGACGACAGACTGCTTTTGAGGTTGTAGTATCTCGGTGGGCGTCGACAGAACGAGCAGGCTTTTCCAGTTTGGACGTGGACGCGAAAAAGGAAATGCGAGAGGACACGCTTCAACGAGAAACAGAGGCAGAAACGAAAGTACAAAGATCGCGGCCATGATATTCAATTTGTGGTACTAGTTTGCTGGATAATCGTATGTAAGAAAGCCTCCCTAACTAAGCAACGAGAGTTTCGTTCTAGAGTGAGAGGAGCTTGAAGGCAGTTACTCGTGTCGATCTTTGGTGGCTGGTAGAGTAGTAGGTCTCTCATTTGTGCTGCGAAAGAACTCCATAAGAACTTCTTCATGAGAAAGTCTCTCTACGTCCTCTTTAACTTTAGAACAATTCCTCAGAAGTTGCCGCATGTGGACACGCCGTCGAGTGAGGACAGCGACAAGCTAGAAGCAGTCTTCGTGCGAACGTAGTCGACACATGATCAAACAAGGGCAATTATTTCCATGACCCTTTTCGCAAGGAGTGGCGTTGCTGTTTCTAAAAAAATAGTTTTTTCTACTTACTTGTTTTCATTTTCGTTATCGCAAACGCAAGAAAGCGACAAACTCTCACTATCTCCTTGCACCATTCTTCATGCTCTTAAAAATTCTGATGCTTTTGGAATTTGATTGCCTCCATCTAACACTAACCGAAATCATGATCGTCTTTGGGGGTAGGTCCTCTATGTTGGAGGTAGGTCCTCTAGTACAAGACTTGTGCACTACATCAAGTACTCCTCGTGACATTTTTTACATTGATGGCGCTTGATCTCCGTTTCAGTGCCTTGGTTTTGGAGGTTGAGATTAGACCACGACTACGTCTCGCTCACGACGAAAACGATCTAGGTTAGGTTTGGTGTGGGTCCACTAGGAAAACTGGCAGACAACTCACAACGAAGACGATCTAGATCCACATCATAAATAATAATAGTCAAAAATTGTTATTTTTGTTCTTTGTAGTCTAATAGTTTTATTTTGTAAGGTTAGGTGTGGGTCCACTAGGAAAACTAGCAGACAACTCACAGCGAAGGCGATCTAGATCCACATCAGAAATAATAATAGTGCTGGCCAGTGCTCATTACTGGCGCAAGATCCTACGAATGAACCTGATCCCAATGCCAAACGACTGCTTGATCATGACCAATGCCGTTCCTTGTCTTGGGCGCTTGTTAGTTCCTCACGTGGTCACGAGTTGAACTCAATGAGTTCCAACATGAATGAGCAGTAAGATCGCCCAGATCTTTAGCTGCACTATGACCCTTCATGATATCCCGACGACATTGGGCCCATTTTGATACCATTCCAAGGCCTTAAGTAGTCAGCGACCATTCGGCACGTCCGTTCTGGTCTTCTTTCTGTTATATTGCAACAATAGCCACTCCATTTCCTCCCAAGAGCTTCATAGCGTGCTTGGACGTGTTCGGGTGTTCCTACACTGTTCCAAGCCCTTGAGCCTTGTCTTGTTTCAATAGTCTAGAGAAATTCAGTCGTTCTACCGTAGAAGTAGCGAAAACAGAGCCGCACTATCTGCGCCACAAAATGCCCGATATAAGTCGCGGCGAGATTTCACCCAAACTGGGGCAGAAATCCGACTGGCCTGGCGTGACTGGCTTCGAGCGGTAACGCAAGAAGCAGACCGCCTGGGCTTAGTCCAATACCTCAGCAACGTGCTGAACAACAATACAACGCGGCAGGGGTTCCGAACCAGCCCAACAATAACGGCCGCAAACTTCAGCAGAACTGGCGAGGTTTGAAGAGAAGCGTGGCCATTAAGTCACTCAAAGGTGCAGCCGAGGCGCATACGAAGGACCAGGATACCACAGCGATGAACGCAGGCGAAGTGGTGACGGATCTCCGTGACGCTGGTCCCAATCAAAATGACCGCACAGAGCAGCGAATCCCTGCTAAAGCGTTGGAAGGCATGCACTTCACGAACCGCGACGCTCCTCCAGACGTTCCAACATTCCCGGCGAAGGTTAGAGATGTCATGACCAATCTCCGACAGTCTACCCGCCGGAAGTTGGTGCGGCTATTGCTGACCAACAAAGCGGAGCAATCCTCGACATTCTGCCTAAAATGTTTCCCAAAGCATTTCGACAGACAATCGAGAGGATGCAAGAAGAAGACCGCCTAGCGTTCGTTCAAATCGGTGAAAGACTCACGGAAAAGCTTCAGAGTTTACTTGACTCTGGTCAGTACAAGACCGAGAGCCCATCTTTCGGCAAAGCCTTTCCGGCTGTTGAAGATTCCGACGATGAAAACCAGAACAATACCAAAACTAAGAAGCGCAAGCGTCAACATGAGAGCGATGACGATGGTGATGCGTTTGCCGCTCTCAAGAGGACAACGATCAAACGACCTCGCAAGAAAATTCGCAAAGAAGTCAAGAGTGAGGCCTACGCAACGAAAGGAATTGGAAACAAAGAATAGTAGCAGTTCTAGGAGTAAGAAGAACAACGGAAGTGGTAAAGGTAAAGGAGCTAAGGGCCCGAATCCTAGTGAGGGTACCCAGTGCAACTACTTTCACAAGTATGGACAGAGGGCGCGCAAATGCTGGCTAAACCCGACGGGTCAAAGCTACCAACCTAATAAAGCCATGGGCGGCAACTTCTTCCACAATTCCTACAACTGCTGGCCGCAGGGTAACGCTATCCCTCCGCGACATCAGCTTCAGCACAGCTATCCACCGCAACAAAGTGGAGGGAAAAGATTCGACAACGGTAACCCACAGCAATGGGGTGGACAACAGCCACAACGCTGAGAGGAACCCAGTCAGGAATGGAGTGGATATGAGAAACGAGGCGGACAGCTCCAAGCTGATGAAGAAGAAGAACTCGAAGAAGGTCGCAGCAACGAGAATGGAAGATGTTCGCTGAACTTTGAAGAAAGCTCAAGGAGTAATGATAGCGCGAGGCCCTTTTTGACCCATATCGGGTCGGGTTGCTCGGGTTGCTCGAGTTGCCAACCCAAATTTTTTGCGCGGCGCCCTTCGGGCGCAGATTTATGACCCTACGAGAGACCTCAACAAGAGCGCACGACACCACGCGCCGCGTCTCTGGTCCTTGGTATTCTTCTTAGTGCGCCCTTAAGTTAAGGCCCCAGTCAGTCAGCTCCCCTATCTTCCTGGACAAGGAAGTGCGGCCGCCTATTCTTCCTCTCAGCTGAGTAGTGCCGTATCTAGGAGGATGGGTAAGATAACTAGTGGCGGCGCCCTATCTGCTTGCGGCGTCTAAGTGGTTCGAGTTGCATGCTGATGGCGATGCGCTCGTATATAAATATCGAGCGCGCCAATCCCTTTCAGCTTAGCAGCCTCCTCCAGTCTACTTACTGCCGTGCCCAAGACTGGACACGTCGCCCGCCGAAGCCAGCAGACGGACACGGAGACTCGCTCTCAGCCCCCAAGTAGATTGGCCACGCTCGCACCCAGAGAAAAAGGGGAGAGATCGCCAACGACTCGAAGACGACACACCACAGCGGCACCCACCTCAAAAAAACAACAGAGAGCAGGGGCCTTCGCTTCTTGTTTTCGCTTCAAACACGCGCCCGCACGCTACAAAAAAAGAGCCCGAAAGGCTGCAGAGCCCTTCGCACGTGGCTCCCCCTTTCATGAGCAACAACAAAAGACAACAGCTGCGCTCTTCTTCATTTCTTCACTTCGAGCGTGCGAATTCTCCTCCATACCGCCCGGCTTCGCCCCATTTTGCTGAGTCAAAGCTCTCCTGGCAACCCGTGGCAACCCGTTCCAGATTTGGAACCCCTGCGCTTCAGCAACCCGAGCAACCCGCTGCAACTCGAGCAACCCGAAGCCCGTTATTTGCCTTACTCTATAACGAGTATAGAAGTGAACTGCTTTGGGGTGAAAGCTATGCGAATGGTAGTCGCTCCGTCTATCATCTTAGTGCAAATGAGAGAGACAATAGCGGAGCAGTCTCACTCGTTGACAGTTGTGCAGATAAGTACTTGCCTAACCATCGCTCTGACTTCCAGGAGATTCGCTACCAACTTTGTCACATAAGTGACACCGCTGGACAGCGAAGCGGGAACTTAGGCAGACTGAAAGCAAATAGATTAGGGCTAAAGTATGGCGCACACTTTGAAGCTGAACATCTACCAAAAGCGATAGATCGCATTACGCCATGGTTAGGAGCAAGCAACTGCCATGAGAAGGGGCGGCAAATGAACCCGGCAGAAAGTGGCAGAACGTTGCACAATACCCGCCCCAGCCGCTCTCTACCCATAACAAATTGCCCCCAGGTGCAGCTGCCCACTCACTCTAAGTCGTGACATGTTTAGCAAAGAAGAAGACGAAGCTGAGGAGGATGGAGCACGTATTAGCGTAGAAGAAGCTAGACACTAGCCACAAACTTCAAGACTCGACACACATCGTAGACTTGGCCACTTTCACGTCGATGGCCTTAGTGTATCTTGTCCAGAATGTGATCGGACCAAAGGCCAAAGACGCCCCCACACAAAAAGTGAGGCCCGCTGGGCATAGACTCAGGGGGACAACACCGGCCACCCTATTCCTTTAAAATGCTACTAAAATTTTACTAATTTGACCAATCGGAGCGATCTCAGAAGACCCCCCGACGCTGCTAGCAACACCCCTGAGACACCTCCAGGAAAGACCCACCGACCACACCACCAAAGCCGCGACCGATAAGCAAACCCACCGCCCTCAGCTGCAGCCACCACCAGCGTACCTCGGTGCGCAGACTCTACAAAACCCGACGACACAGAAGAGCAGAATCACAGCACGCGACACATGGCCGACAGATCTCCCACGAAGCTGCGACCTTTGGTCGCAAGTGCTCTAATTCGAGCGCTAAAAATTCTGCTAATTTAGGAAAAGCCGACGGAATGCACCGGGGGGGAGCTCGCTCGACAAGTTGCTAACTCGTCACTCTAGTTTGGTTCTGGGGCTTTTCGAAAACTTTCTAAAAATTCCTCTAATTGTGTGCTCTGGTTCAGCACTCTAATTTGCAAACCCCCCGATAGCGCGAAATCGCGCAGGGTTTTGGGGTGCAAAATTAGAATACCGAATTCGAGTGCCTAAGTAGAGGAATTTTAGAGGGCTTCCGAGAACCCCCCAAAACAATTAGAGTGACGAATTAGCATGATTCTTAGAGCAAAAAAATAAGGCACCCCGGCGAGAAATCCCGCCGAATTAGAGTGCTGAATTAGAGCGCTAAATTAGCACGATTTTTAGCGTGCTAAATTAGCGCGATTTTTAGTAAAAAAATTAGACCCCAAAAACCGACCCGAGCACAGCACCAGTCTGACAGCTGCCGCGTCAGCCGCGGACCTTTTGCGCGGGGACCCACCCCCCGACACGGCGGCAAGGCCACAGCGAGCATGCTACCCCCTGCGGCCACACGGCTAAGCACACCACACAAGACACACCCCGACCACCACAGGCAACCGACTAGCCTGCAACGATTTGCGACCCCTTCAAAATTAGAGGAATTTTAGCGGAAAATTAGGCGCGAAAGGTGCCCAGGCGTGTCCTCCTGAATAGACCCTCTCCGTTAAGGGCGCTCGCAATTGATTTCGCAGTCGGTATCCGACCAGTATCCATAAGAAGCAAGAGGCGCGCTCTAGTTGTTATTTGTGACTCGGTTCAAATGTGTTTCGTTCGACCTCTATGCCTTAAGTCAGACTGCGTTGAGGTGATTGAAGAAGTAACAAAAGGCATTCGCCGAGACTACTCACTGTCACTCGACGACAAAGCGGCACGGCTCACCCGTCGAGATAGCGAGCCCGTCCTGAGTAGTGACCATGTGACCAAAGTCATGCAGTCGCTACTGGTTTCGGAAATTCCTGGCGTTCCCTACAGCCCAGAGATCGATGGAACTTGCGAACGCTTCACGCAGACCATTTACGGCGCTGCGCGTACCATGTCGGTCAAAGTCAGCCGACGTCTTTGGCGTTACTGCCTCCAGTATGCCGGAGGTTGTTGGAATCGCTTACCGCATCGCTGTGCAAAAGTGCCAGAATATGGCAGAAGGAGTCCCGTCGAGAAACTAGAAATAGCTAAGAGGATAGGGAAGAAATCCTCGAAGAGTGGTCTAGTTATGTTAAGAAGATTTGGCTGCTTGGTGTACTTTCGCGAACAGGTAGTGGACACCACCAACAAGAAAGAAGCGAAGCTGGTGCCACCTTATCGGCGTGGCGTGTTCCTCGGTCTCTGTCCGGTTTCGCCTGGTTGGCTAGTGGGAACATATCACAACGATGCGAGAACAGAGGCTGGCCCCAAGTGGAGCGAGTATTCCGCGCTAGATGTGAAACCTCGAGAGTCGATAATAGTATAGAACACTGACTGGCTATTGCCTACGCCGGAGGGCATTTATTTTATGTTGATTGCGACCCAATGGAAGACCTGCAGTCTGGCACGCCGTCGCTGGGTCCCGTCCTGCACAGACATGCGCTGCAACATATGGCCTGTCGGCCGCGCTTCTCTGGCACGGAGTACAGCTCAGGCGACCCAACCGGCATGGGAATGATATCAGACAGGAACGAAGCTGATGAGTTTTCCTGTGGATCTTTGGACAGGGAAGGAGATCCAAAGACCGACAACGGTTCCAACTCTGACGCGCAACGCGTTGAGGCGGGGAGTATCTCATCGGAGCCGAGCGCGTGCCACCTGACTCTAATCCTGAAGCAAAGTCTCCAAGGCCAACACCTACACCACCACCTCAGCCAGGCAAAGTTGAGGAGGGGAAGAAAGGCCGAGGAAGACCCAAAGGGAGCAAGGAGAAGAATCCAAGACAACGCAAGAGAAGAACAAGAGCCGAGCTTGAAGCATTGAGAAAAGACATGAATAAACTTGCCACGCTAGCCAGCAAGCCGAGAACTACCCTCACACTCAAAGTAAAAGTTTGAAAATTGAGGCTGTATATCTCAAACAGGATAAATTTACTAGGTAACTATAGCGAGCTAGTTCAAATCTAGCCAGAGAGGGCCTTCGGCGGCGCGGCAGCGATGACGGCAGCCGGATCTGCTAGGCAGACCTGCAAGGTTGAAGGCAATCCAGCACTTCGTGACTGAGAAGGTTCAGAATGGGACGAAGGTGGGGAATTTGCTTGAGCGTTGTCCTGCGGCGCCGCCTAGCAGGTTCGTGCTTTTTGCCGGTCGCTCGATTTTCAAAATGGTACCCTTTTGCCCTTGCCGGGATTTGAAGACATTTCCCCAAAGAAGTGCACTCAACCCCTTCCGGGCCCCTAGCAGGAATGCCCTCAAATCGGCCACCTCTGGCAGCACCGTTTTGCTGGGCTGTCACTGGTGAAAAAGTGCACTCAGAGCGATTCCCGAGCTCGCTGGAACCCTCGCGAGTTGGAGGGCTCCGAAAGGGGTGAGTGCACTTTTTTGGTTTGGTTCCTTTGCCTGGGGTTGTTGCGTGCCGCCTACAAGACTTGGACACTTCAGAACTCCCATCCTTCCCACACCTCAGAGAGCGCGTCGTTGGCGATGGTGCGCAAGAGGTGGCGCCGCAGATCCGTTCTCAGCCCCTTTCTCTTCTTAGGTCTCACCCTAAGCCGTTTCAGCCTTCAGGCGCACACTTCCCAGACGCCTTGCAGGTGTTCCCCCAGAGCTTGGCGCCGAAATCGCTGCCGCAGTACCGAAGACCTGGTCTAGCCTCTAGCGACGATGAAGCCAGCTAGTAAACCTTAACTACATACTTAACCAAACCTCAAAGCGACGAGTCTAATTTTCTCAGAGTTTGAGTGTGAGTGTAGTTTTTGGTTTGGTACTAGCTGGCGGGCATGAGCTGGAAGAAGGGGGCAACCTTTCTCGAAGCACGTGCCATGTTGTCAGTTTCCCAAGCCTTGAAAAGCCCCGACGCCGAAAAATGGCGAGCGGCTATCACCAGGGAGGGAGCTAGACTACTTGCCTTCGAGACTTGGGCGCCAGCTACTGGCGAGGAGCTGCGAACTTCTTCCCAGGTAATGCCTATAGAAATCACCCCCACAGTAAAACGTGATGGAACATTCAAAGCGCGCGCCTGTGTGCTCGGAAATCTTGACCGTTTGGGGAATGTCGACGCCTACGCCTCTGCAGTGTCACACGCTGCGAGTAGACTTTTGCTAGTCTCTGCGGCGACGTCGTCTGACTTCGTCGCCCCCTTTGATATTGATTCGGCGCCCCGGTTCCTTAGTGCTGAACTCGATCGCGACGTCTTCTGCCGTCTTCCACCAGTGTGGGCGGAGAAGCATGGAGCGGATACCGTCAAGCTTAGTAAAGCTCTCTACGGGCTCAAGGACACCCCACGAGTCTGGTTCAAGAAGTACTGCGTGCTATTGTCCGGACTCGGATGGGAGCCGTGCCCTTCTGCTCCAGGATTGTGGCGGAAAATGAGCAAAACGCACCCAGGAAAGTACACGAAGACGCCAGTCTATGTTGATGATAACCTAGCTACTGGGCCTGACTCTCAAGAGTTACGACCCGAGCCCGGCCGGGTCTTTAGTCGCGCCCCCGGCCGACCTATTGAGATGGCAAAGCGAGTCGATACCCACTCAGGTCCCGAATGGCTAGAGTTCGACTCTCTTGGTGCGATTGTGCACTATTGTCGGGAGGCGCGCTCAGTGAAGACCCTGATGAGTGTGCACATAGAAAAAACTTCGAAGAAGTATAAAATAACACTAGGCAAGCCGGTGCGGTCTCCAAATTTCGACGAGTTTGCTTGAGGAGAGGCTTAAGCTAGCAGCCGGGTTGCCATCGAGTGAGATTGTTGGCGCACTGCTTTGGATACCGACAACCGCAAGGCCAGACATTCATATGCGCCCCCGTGGCGACATTGGCGCGGTATGTCAGTAAGCCCGTAACTGAAAGAATTGCCAAAGCCTGTAGGAAAGTGCTGAAGTATCTAGCTACGACAAAAGCACAAAGACTCTACTTCTACTACCCTCCAGAAAGTGAGGAGGAATTCAACGAAATCCGCAAGAAGCTCTCACCAGAAGGGAGAGAGCTACCACGCACTAACTGGCTCCCAGATGCAAGACTTGCAAACTGCATAAAGAGCACGCGCTCGACCAGTGGTTCGATTATGTACTATCGGGGCTGTCCAATCTGTTGGAAACGCAATACCCAAACCGTGCGCGCATATTCAGCCGCAGAGTCAGAGGATATAGCCGCGCCGGGAACTATTGCCATGAGCGAGCTGCACGATTTCGCAGATTTCTTCAATCCCTTGCCCACTAAACTAGTGGAGACGCGGTCTGGTATATCGCCATCCCTCGGCGATGCCATATTGTGGGCTGGCAACCAGTCTGCAACATCGACGGCAAAGAGTGAGTCGTGACGACACGAGGCCCAAGAGTAGACAATACGCACTACGCTACTTAGGGGCTAGATGAGGCGCAGCTGAGAAAATCGCTCTCAGTCCTACTCACCTTATGAAGGCAGACCATCACATAGAAGGCCTTGCAATTAGCCGCGACCATGTTGAAGATGATAGCGACCCGGAAGAAGAAGACGACGCGCCTGGTTCAAGTTCTGCGTCTCTGGCGGCGCTTACCTACTCTATCGGCCTGGGGTGCTCGATCGTTGGTCACTGGTGGCGCCATAAGCTATTTATCACAACTAGCGACGGTTCAGGGTTGGAGCAGGTAACACCAGGCCACTCCTGCCCTCCGTCATTTCCTCACCTAGCGACTGGGGAGCGGCGTTGGTCGATGGTCATTACTGGCTCAAGGTCCTACGAATGAACCTGATTCCAATGCCAGGCGACTGCTCTCACTCGTCAACTTGCTCACGATCAGCGCCGTCCCCTGTCTTGCGCTCTTGTTAGTTCCTCGCGTGCTCATCAGTTGAACTCAATGAGTTCCAACATGATTGAGCAGTAAGATCGCCCAGATCTTTAACCGCACTGCGACCCTTCATGATATCCCAATGACATTGGGCCCGCTTTGATACCATTCCAGGGCCTTAGGCAGTCAGTGACCACTCGGCCCGTCCGTTCTGATCGTCTTTCTGTTACATTGCAACGGTAGCAACCCCATTTGCTCTCAGGAGCTTCGTAGCGTGCTTGGACGTGTTCGGGTGTTCCAACAAATAGCCAAAAATTGTTATTTTTGTTCTTTGTAGTCTAATAGTTTTTGTATGGTTAGGCGTGGGTCCACTAGGAAACCTAGCAGACAACTCACAGCGAAGACGATCTAGATCCACATCATAAATAATAATAGTCAAAAATTGTTATTTTTGTTCTTTGTAGTCTAATAGTTTTTGTAATCATGTCGTCCTTTGATCTCTCTTGTTATCTAGGGGCACTTTGCCCGAGAAGAAGATTACGACAATTGTGCTAGGAGCCAAGCGATTTGAAAGTGCTATAGCCTCACAAAAAACACAGCTCAAGCTCAACTACTTGATGCATGTAGTAAATTACTGTATTTACATGATCTCATCTAATACAAGTAACACGTCAGTACTAGTAAATGTACACGATAGCAGCTCCAGTTGTAGTTTCAGTTTGGTTGTACAATAAGCAAGTCCTCGAAGATGTTCTCTCGAATTCACCGACTCTCTGTTTTCTTGGAAATCATGGAATTTTCGTTAATGACTAGCAATTCAACTTTTTTCGTTCACCAGCTTAATAAATTCTTCATCTTCATCTTGATGGTTGTAGTCTTGTCAAAACTGTGAAATGGAACAAACTCATGTAACTGTGATAGTGATGCTGCTAGTGAAAATATCTGCTATAACGGTTAAGCCTCCTACTGACAAATAAGTAAATCTATCGATCATGAATTCTGAAGGATCCTTCCGTCTAAGGAAACCTGAGAAAATCTATTGTCTAGTAAGGAAATCTGAATACATCTTCTATCGATCACGATCATCATCCTCATGCTCATGGTGCTGTCCCATGGCCTAAAAATGCATGGTCGTCTCCACTGCTCATGAACATATCATCAATCAATCGATCATAAGTCATAGCCAGTCTCATCGTAAGAATTGTTAGGGCGCTGCTGCATAAATCTGTCCCTTTCATTTCAACTAGTGTGAGTCTTTCTCTCTCGAGCGTGCTGTTCGTTAGAGAAGCAGAAACACATCATTTAGTGGAATTTTAGAACGGATTTAGAGTACATCTACATCTGCCCTGCTCCACAACAACAGCTGATGTTAGTCGACTGGTCAAACGGATATTACAACCAAAATAACCTTCTCATCTTCTTACTGTTACTGCTCATCTTCATAATGAGAAGCACACCAGCGACGTACTGCTCATGATAATAGTACATCAGCCAGCACTTCTTCTATCTTCATTTCAAAAACTAAAAAATATGCGATTTTCCTTCCACAACAAGACAGGGTAATAATATTGTTCTTGATCAAAAATCGCGCTAGCCATGCTGAGATTACGAGAAAAATTCTTCAAAGTGTACAAAATGGAGCTCAACTTCTACACCTACAACACTTTCCACTACTAGGAGAAGTGTTCAAATACTTAGAGTAAAAGATGTTCTCAGCATGTTCTTGATCTCAAGCTGTCGCGTTGAAAAAGTTAGTAGCAAATAGCAATCCACTTCCTTGCTCATATTTGATGCATCGCGTTCGTTCATCCACCTGCTAGTATCCCTCTAGTCGAGTACCCCTGTAGCCTAGTACCACTTCTACACTTGGTAGCCCTCTAGTGCCACTACCGCACCATCATCAAAGAACGAAAAAGTACAACTGCTTAATAGGTGTACACATCTTTACGCCTGGAGAAATGCTAACATCCCCCAACGGTAGTTGTAGTTGTACATCTCCCTATGATGCGTCCGCACTCCCACTCAGTGCATCTTCTGGAATATCTTGTTTTTCGAGCACCTCTTCAGCTTCACCCTCCTCTAGTACTGCATTATTGATCGCACCATTATAAGCATCTGCGAGTAAGTCCTCTGCGATCATGTCCGTGAGTTTCTCGTCCGGGATTAGAATCTCACTCTTAAACTTAAAGTAGACCACCTTGTAAGACAAATTCAAATCAATAGATGCAGAAGTAGTTGTAGTAATTTCACTGCCCCCTTTTTAAGGGAATTAGATGTAGTGACTTCACTGCCCTAAGGTAATTAGATGTAGAGGCTTCGTTCACTGCCTTCCGGGAAGTGTGAATATAAGTAGATTTGACTGTCTTGAGGGATTCTATCTGAGTAGTGACTGCCTTAAGATTAAGTGGGGTGCCTTCTGCCACAATCGGTCTGCGAACCACTTGATAGCATAGGGCGCGAAACCGGGGACCACACGTAGAATGCCCGGTCGTGTCACTCCTGTATTGTCAAGAAAATTAGAAGAAGACAGACTACAACGCTTGAGTTGTTGAAAACTTTCTTACAGAACGAAGTGGAAGACGGGTTATACTATAAGAAGATGAAGAATACACAACCAGTAAAAGTAGACTGCGTACTTCTCTGAAGAATATTAAAGCCCTCTGAATAGTAAAGCCATAAATGGGTCCGGAAGAAGGGGGGAAGGTGCGATGTTGTCTCCATTCACACACGGCCCCATGCTCCAGGTGCGACTGGCCGTTGCGACGAAGATGATATTAGACAGGCTAAAAGTGACGCTGTACTTATGCTAAAAGTGCTGACAAGGCCCTCAGGCACTACTGGCAGTAAGCAACTGCTAAGTATTACCATGTCCTTCGCCTTGGTGGCCAGTAAAGAGAAATCCGTCAAGCAAAGGCAAGAAATAAAGGAGACCATTTGCGGCCCCGATGGCACTGCCGTGACGCGCCCACGCTACCGAGTCAAAACAAAGCCCAAAAGCTGGCTGCCAGATGGCACACGGAAACCCGCAGTGCGCTGCACACCGCAGCTGGCCTGCCGTCTGACTATCACACTAACTAGCTCCTACGCAGGCGCCCTCACTCTCACTCCCTGCCCACGACGGCGCGCAACGCTCTCCCCACACAGTTCAGAGAAGCCACGAGCGCTGTTCGAGTGGACTTGCAAAGCGCCTGAGAGTCCCGAGCGCGCGCCCAATGTCTACAAAGCTGCCTCGTTCTGTAGCCCACACGACGCAAACCACCAAGGGAAAGGCGCTGCGCCCTGTAGCCTACACGCAATCGGCCAAAGAGGTTTGAGACGCCACGAAAACCAAAGAAGGAACGACAGAGGCGAAGGGCCGAAGAATTTGGGCCAGATGCTCAGGCGCAGCGACCACATTGCCGACGACCATGAAGAGAAGACACAGACACAAACAGAAAAAGCAAGCAGCCAGACCCCCCGGCGCCAAAGCCAAAACCCCGGCGACACTTCCACAAGCCTGGCCAGCGCCATGCCCTTGCGATTCATGAGGAGAAGACACACAAACAGAAAAAAAAAGCAGCCTGCTAGACCCTCGGGCACCAAAGCCAAAACCCCAGCGACACCCCCACAGACCTGGCAAGCGCCATGCCGTCGCTATTCATGAGACGGAGACACACAAACAGAAACCACAAGCAGCCAGGCCCCCCGCCAGGCGCCAAGGCCAAGACCTCAACGACACCGCCACAGACCTGACCAACACCATGCTGCCACGATTCCGGACCCATCAGGAGAAGACACACAGACAGAAAAAACAGACAGCCAGAGCCGCGGGCGCCGAGGCAAAATCCCCGACGACACCTCCACAGACCCGGCCAGCGCCATGCCGTGGCGCTCGCGATTCATAAGGAGAGCACACACGAACAGAAAAAACAAGCAGCCAGACAGACCCTCAGGCGCCAGGGGAAGCAGAAAAGCACAAACCACGCAAACGAACCGCCCGACTGCCACCGGAGGAGAGAGACACAGCAATGCTTTGAACCGAAGAAGAACAAGATCGCCTTATCTCTTCAGGCAAAGAAGTATATCACTAGAGCCAAGTCCCTAGTCTTTCTGCAGAGAGACACAACAAAAAGAAAACCGAAACACCCCGACACGGCTACGGCCTTCTTGCAGTTTTTGGCAACTTTTCGACGGTGGTGCCTTCTGCGTGTTTTTGGACTCCTTCCACCCTATTGCGGTGGCGGTTTTTTTCCACTTTTTTCAGGCATGTCAGCGCAGTAAATAAACACCAAGACCCTTCCCCACGCGCGTCTGACGGGTTTCCTCTGTTAAGCGATGGAGGCAGTCATCGCTACAGACTACGCAGCTGCTATTACCCATCTTTGTTGAGTCCAAAAGCGATGCTGTCCTGGTAGCAAGAGTGTAGACCTTGTTCGAAATTCAAGAAATGCAAAGGAGTAGAAGGCCGCGATGCTGCTGTAAGCAGTTGCACGCGTACCAATACCAGCGCCAGCAGGTGCGACTATATCTGTTAATATGTCCCGCAGTGGAGAAACTACAAAGAGGCGATGAAGCTCCTTCTAGGTGTTCTTCAAGGGCCAGCAGTTCGAGAGGCGTTGCCTAGAGCGAGGGGGCGCAGGTGTGGGTGACTCTAATTCAGTGAATTTGCAGCGGCTGGGGGGATGATGAATCCGAGTCTTATACTTTCTTAGCAGGCAGATGATGCAATATCGTTCTTCTTCAGTCAGTTCAAGCTAGGTTGGGAACCAAGTAAGCATAGGCAGACGTCAGACTCAGTAGAGTCTACTGAAGAGCCAAAACTTAACTTGTTCCTTCATATACTACAGCTGGCGATGCCACTCTAACCTTTTTTTTTGCCTTTTGATGATTTTAGGATAGGATAGCGATAGGATAAGATCGGATGCTTTTGCTGAGCCTTTGACGCGCCGTAATGTCATTTCCGCTTGGGTTATCCCGGTTGAACTTTGGCTTTTCGCCTACAGGAGTACTCTGCGATGCAAAAATGAAGCAACTCGGGCTTTTCTAGGGAGGCCCTTCAGAAGCATGGGCAAGCAAGATGAGACACAGGAACAAAGTTTACAACCCTGCAAGACTCTTGGAGGTGGCCATAAGCATAAGTACTAGTCTATTGTTCTAATATATACTTAAACACCCACTCACGTATTCCACCCAGGCCAACGCTAAGCCTTCGGACTTGGGGGGTATATTTCAGCATATCTATCCGCTTCAGCATATGACTCACAAACTTCACCGCACGCCCTGACAAGAGAAGCTTTGGCGAGGTCCCTCGAGTTGGCTGCCTGAACTGCTCAGCCCCTGGCCCTCATCTGCGAAGTAGAGGCGGGGCGAGTGGCAGAAAGCAAGGAAGCACAGCAGCCGAGACTCTGGACACAGGCACACCCCCTAGCACCTGGGGCCACTTTGCAGAGGTCGGCCCAGATTCACCGCGTGGCCAATGCTGACGGGCGCGCGGCCTGTGCGTAAGGATCGGGCAGTCCTCAAGCCCTGGCGCTGCATGTGGGCGCATGGCGTGGCAGCGACCCGACTGGCCGAGCGAAATCCAGGCGGCAGCCCGGGTCCACTGTCATCGCCGTGGCCGGGTGGCCTGTCACGCACCACACCAGCCTGCGACAGTTTTCGCTGGCGGTGGCTTGTCAGGGTCGCTGTCACGCTTGTACAGCACGCGGACGCCCTGCGCCAGTGGGCCACGCTGGTCGCCATCAAGTGAGGACCCGTGGGACCGGTCTGCTGGCGTCAGCCGTGGCAAAGGCCTACCAGCATGCCAAGCACAGGCGTGAAAGTGCCTGGCCCCATTTGGCTGCTCCTGGAGTTGGCATGGGTTTGCCGCGAGCTGAGGCGTCTGGCCCTCTTTGAAGTCCCAAGCCTAGAGGAGGGCGCTCGCTGTGGTCGGCGACTCTCTGTTGCCGAGGCGGCGCTCTCCGTAGTGACAACCGTGGCGCCAGAAGTTCCGCGATCACGCGTTGGGGCGGAGTTTCTTAGTCGTATAATGCTAATAATCAAACTTATGGCATTTACGCACCTCCTCTTACGTCCCTTATTTCCGTCAGCGTCAGTAGCTCGGTTATTTCCAGATCCAGTCTTCTATTACTAGCAGTAATTAGCCCATAAAGAGCACTCGCAGCATGCTGGCTTCATCGTTATTGGAGTCACCCAGCGTCATCGCGATCCTGCCACTATGAAAGGACTAGCTCCAATCAAGCTACGAACAAAGGATCAGTGTATCGCTAACATCACTAGCGAATTGATAGGGAATATTATGGCGTATGAGTTAGATTGTAGGTTTTTCAATTTTACTATCCTTGCTATTAGAAGAACTAATCCTAATCGCACACACTGAAAGATAAGGGGAGGGATTTTGTTGGTTGTCAATTTTTCACTTAACCGACAAGCAATTGAGGGATGTGGTCAGGGCTCTGGGCCATAAGCACCACTTGCAGCCCAGAGCTCCCAGCACGAGGAGACAAGGTGCCAGCCTAAGAGTCCTCACAAAGTGCGTCACGGTTTGGCAAACCGTCTTATGAAAGCCTCAGCCGATAAAGGTGCAGCAGGATCAAGACACAGTATAACCGATGAGTAGACAGATAGAGAGAGAAAACTGACGAACAGCTACCGACAAGACGACGAGCCAACCGGAGAACACACCCTACAGTCACTCGTTAACTAACACACGAACAGTCTAGAACAATAATAGTGCTTACACACTGGCTTAGACATTAGATTATCAGCATTTACTTGCAAACAGGACGCGCCTATAGATGAATAACAAACAAGCCGCAACCCCTCAATTGGCTGTTAAGATAACTACTAGTAGTTTGGCAGGTAAGTTTAGTATGGAGCAGGAAAGAGAGACGGAAGAGAGCGAACTCAGTGGACAGTAAGGCACAAAGTCAGGAGGGTCAGCAGACCAGGTAAGGGGAAAGCAGCAGCAAGCAAGTCATCGCCACATAGCAGGACAGCGAAAGGGAAAGAAAGGAAAGGGTATTGTAAGATAGGATCACACAAGCCTCGAGTAGAAACACATTTACGGGCAGGCAAGGGCCAGAACATAAATCAGAAGTCAGGCCAGTCATAAGGGAGGCAATTTCGCTCAGTAGTTCTCTCTTATCTTTGTAGTGCCTTCAGGTGAGCAGGATCCAGCATCTTAACTCAGCTCTTTAAGAGACTTTATCTCAGTTTTCCGCTCTGAGTGACATGATTCAAACTCTCAGACCTCATGACGCACAGGCGTCCTTTCTCACACTTAATACGCAGATCAGAGCGCATGCCTTTCATTCGTGACATTCAAACTCAACTGCTTGCTCTTCCTTCTAGTTGACTGCTTTACTGCTTTCGATTTAATTTCAGAAGGTAGAGGTAGTGGCCAACTACTCACTACTGAACTCTTGTCGTGTTAGATCTACAACCTGTCGCGACAGCGCACCATTTGCGTGGACTTGTAGAGGACGCCCCATTTTCCTACTCTGGTCACGTCCTGGCTCTGGTCGTTCTTCATCGGGAAAGGTAGTCGGAACTTGATTGCTGCAGATTGTTACATACCGCCTTGCCGCGTATCTTGTTACATCACGCTGCTCAGCCATTCCAGACGTTTGCAGTAGAAGGGCTAGCCTCGTACGCTTTTCTTCATCTTGTTCTTTGAACTTGAGTCCTCCACCAAGAAGGCCATAAAGCTCCTGACTCGTACTTTGTGCTTTACTCTGAACTTGTTCAGTTGAAGAGGAAGAAGATGAGTCGCGGTTACTTTGTCCATGAAGAGGCTGCTCTCGTTCGTCAGGTTCTTGAGATGTATTGTTGCTGAGGTCAAGCGTCAGGATGGTGCTTCTATGTATTGCCGTCGTTCTATCTTCTTCTCGGCAGCGTCGCACTGGTCGTCTAGTAGTTGTGCTATGCGCTCCACTGAAGCATCTAGGGTGTAGGTGGCATAGTCGACAATCGCCATCCCCTGCTCGTAATGAGTGTTGCTGTTGTGCGTCTAGTACTAGTCCGGCTATTGAGAGGGGATCTCTATGGTCGAGCCTTTTGTGGTGTAGATGAATGCTGGCCGAGCAGTTACAGACAAGCTCCCGCTGTTTCTGCAGATGTGAAGTGAAGAAGTAGTCACCGTCGTGCTCTTGCAGAGTATTGAGTGGGTATGCCGACCGTTCCGAGTGTTGCTGCCTATATGTGTACGATCTAGCATCCCAGTGTTGTTGTTGTAGAGCAGACTTCGTTTGACACTGAAGATGATTTGCAGGCACAGCAACTTCCCAACTGAAGAAGTTACTATGTGGAAAGTTGTCGGAGAGGATGCGAAAGCGCTCCCCTTTATCCGGGTGATTGTGAAGCTGCTTGACTTCCATATGAGAAAGCGCGTTTGCTTGTAGTGCTTCGAGTGGTAGTGGGATGAAGTTCCTGCCTGACACTAGTGCGTGTAGTATATCCGGAAGACCAGCCGCACACAGCCCGATGGTGGCTAGTTCAGCAGCATTCGCAGCGACACTTCGCACATATCTATCTCCGTTCACTTGTTGACGTGCTGCAAACACCACAGAGAGAAGGTCTGTCTCCTTATTAAGCAAGGCGTCTAGTTGGTTGTTGTTGAGAGAGTCCCAGTGTCCGAACTTGGTCAAGTAGTTGAAGACGATTGCCCAGTTCTCATTGATTGGCCAGAATAGGTAGGGCGCCGGCTTTGGTTGGTCTTGAGCGCTGTCCCAGTTGTTTGCTTGATAGGGGAAATTGTATATATTCACCGAGGAGGGGCTGCCCCCTCCCCCCCGTGGATGGAGCTGCGACGGCGTCGGCGTGCCCTTTTTTCCGCGGTGCTGGTGTGAAGATTGTCGGGGGCGAAAGACTCAAAAGGCGGAGCCGGGGGACTCCTCGTGGATCTCTGCGTGTACTACCCTGTAGGCGTCCCACCTTTTGGACACCATCAACGAGACCACTCCCGGGGAGAGAAGACCCCCGAAGGCGGCCACGGCCGCGAAGCCTGGCTCCTTTTGCTGGGCTGCCCTCATCGTCAGCCGCCAGCAAACGCCTGGGGAGCTTGAAGACCAAAGGCGACAACGTGCGCCCCCTTTCCCGGTTCAAAAGTTTTAGAGGTTTCCGCCGATTTAAAGTATTCCGACACTCTGGCAATCTACCGCAGAAAATTGCTGGGGCTCAGTGCCCGCAAGTCCCAGCCCTAGAGCACTCACATCGCGGGCCCCCATTCACCAAGGAACACGCCCGAGCCAGTGGCGCCCCCCGAGCGCCGTGGCCCCATTCACCCGCGGCGCGACGCGACCTGTCTCACGGTCAGCGGCCCTCACAAGCCAGCGAGCAAGTAAAGCCAGTAGCATGCGTCTGGGCGTAGAAAGGGCAAGAATAAGACTCAGCCGACACTGACACGCTTCCGCGTTTTGGGCCTCTGCGACATGTCGCGTAGCCTCGGGTAGACTATGCATGCGCCACGTGGCTTGTTTATCTATACACTTCAAAGCGACGAGCAACCTCCAAAGTCAGAGCGAGGCGTAGCAGTTTGGCGCCGGTGCTTCCTTCCACCAGCAGGAGGGGGCGCCATCTTCCCAGTCATCTACGAGCATTCTGGCTAGTGGCGCGCATTCTCTCCGTGAGAAGGCGTCGACAGTGTTGAGCTTCGTGGCGTGCTCTCATACTTGTAGGATGCCTGCGCGAGTCTCTCACCGCACAGCAGTGCCATGCTTGAGACCACATCCATCAAGAAGCTTGGCCTGGCTGTCATCTTAGCCGCTGCATATAGGTGGGCGATGTCATCAGTCGCAAAATCGATAGGCAAGCTATGCCAAGCCCAAAGCCTTGCCGCGATATAAGTCGCGAGGGCTTCCAAGATCTCAGCCCAGGGCTCAAGCCCCAGGAGGTGTTTTTCAGTTCAGCCCCAGCCCATGCATATCCACCATAAACCCTCGACGCCTGCCGTCAGGCATTATAATGAAGCCACCAATACCAGGCGCGTCGTTTTCACCCCCATCCGTAGACGCGTCAGCCCAGCAGAGTGAGGCCCGTAGCAAGGCAAGACGTCCCGGCCCGTAAGCCATCGCCAGCAGGCGGGGCATTATTGCTCTCGCAGTTTCTATATGGCGCCTCAATGCCCGGCGTTAAAGTTTTTCCCGTATGAGGCAGCCAAACGTCGCTTCGCCGGGCCACTTGTGGAGCGGTCTCAGTGCCTCAATGCCCATTTTTTGGCGGACGCGTTGGGTCGCAAAGGTGCGCAGCCCTATCCCCTTTTGGATTAGCTTGCGCAGTAGCTTTTTTGCCTGCAGGGCTTTCAAGATGACCACCAGTGCCTCCGTCATCTTTTCAGTGTATTCCTGTGGCAGGGTAACCCATAGGGTGGCGCGCCCAGTCAGCGCCGCTCTCTCATAGCTATACATCAGGCCCAGCGCCCGGACCCGGTCAGTCACAGCCGAGGACTGGCCTGCCTTCAGTTTATCAGATAGCTCCAGGCCTAGCGTCCGCGCCAGTTGATGCACGAACCGCCTCGCCGCACTGATCTGCGTTCTCGCTTTGTCCACAACAGAGCAGTTCTGGTCATCGATAAATGCCAAAAGTGGTAGGCCAAAATGGGCCGCCACTGCCATCAGAAATCCCGCGACTCTGCAAAAAGCTGGCACAGGGGGCGCAGCGCCACTGTCCAATGTGATGGAGACCCAGTAGCGGAACCCATCCACACGTGGGCCATATGATATGCCGCGAATGGGGACGAGGCGGGGCCGTCTACTCCGAAAAGGTAATAGGCGTTCGAGATATCACCGGACGCCATCTCAGGTGGCTTTCTGACGTGACCTCCTCCACGGGAGACCCATCAGGGTGCCGCTCGGGTTTGGCATTCACCGGCCTCACTCTCTCTGAGAGGCCTGCAGCATGCATCGCACTGCAGTGCGCCTGGGAGCGGTTCCAGCTCCGCAGGCCTCTTTTTTGTAGACTTCAGCGTCTTAGCGGTTCCAGCTGTCGTTTCCTTTTTCGCCTGGCCTAGAGGTGAGGCGCGGCAGTCCTCTTCCCTCCCCAATGGCATCGGGTACATGCCTAGCAAGTCCACCGTCTGGCGTGGCCCATGAGGCTCCAGATTCTCCGTTGTGCGGCAGTATTTGTTCCGCGCCCGCCTGTCAATCAGCGCCCGAACCTCAAACCTTTCAGGTGTAGTCTCACCTTTTGGAAAAGCCATCGCCG